TTAAGTTTAAATATGATCTACAGAAAAAAAAGTTTATCAAATAACATTTTGTATCATTGGGTTCCAATCCGCGCTATCCAGTCGGAGCTGTTTCGACGGGGTCAAACTAAAGGGATAGGGATGTTAGCTGAGTGGGATTGAGCTGCCATGCGAAGAGATGGTTGGTGTAATGGGGGGCTTCACATGCGGGGCAATCATTTGGGATGTCGGGTTCGTGTCTGTACAAGTAGCTTTTGAAGGGGCTATATCTTGACCGTAGCGTGGGTCTCCTGTGGCAGTCGGAACTCAGAGTGGCAGTAGATGGTGATTGGGCTCCGATCATGGCATTCATAAGCCGACAGGCGGGGTAGGTGGTAACCGACTCTCTATTAGTGCCGTTGAACGTTCGTCAGTATGTCGTCGGGTCCAGTGGTTGGCCGGTGGTCTGGACCGCGTACATGCACTCGGGAAGATGCCTTCAGACGTGCCTGAGCCGAGGTTCTTCCTCAAGCAAGGGTCTGTTGGGGGGCTCACTCCATTGGCATCCCCCCAGAAATTGCTTGCTGAGCCTTTTGTTATGCTTCCCTACCAGAAGCATTTGTGCCTCGCTATGAAAATGGTGCTCATCACTGGTTCCATCACAAGGCATTCTGTTGATGTCCGAAGTGAGGTGTTCAGACAAGTTTGCATCTTCGTCCACTAAGCAGCGTAATTGAGAACTGACTGGTCAATTGCATTGTATTTTACCAGCAACATTTCTTTGACTATGAGCGACTTGAGGACCTTGTTGCGGATCTGTACTTTATTGACAATTACAGTTGTGTGCGCGGATAAGGAAAACAGCCTGTCAAAGGTGACCCTTTAAATTTTCGGGTTATTCACCATCGGAATTCGTGTGCCATCGACGTGAATACCTAGTTTAAGCCTGACCTCCTTCGTCCAAGTGGTGAAGAGGGTCGGCGTTGGTTTTGTCGTGAAGAGGGTTAGGCTCTGTGCAGTGAAGAAGCGAGAAGGTCCAGAGAGCCGCTTACTTTCTTGCAGAAGTCATCTATTTTATTCCCGGACGCCAATATCAAACAGTTGTCAGCATATGAGATCAGGGCAATTCCCTCCGGTGACATGGAAGCTTCTCTGTGGAGAGAAGCCTCGATATCTTCTAGAAGCTTGGAACGATAGACGGTGTCAAACAACTTTGACACGTCCAACGCCACTATGGCTGTTCTCTCGCCGGGTTGGTTACGGTTAAGACCACGAGTTATTTGCGAGAACAGCCGCTTCTGCCGGAAAGTTTGGGTTAACTTCCTCGATGCGTCCGGATGGAATGAAGCAAGCCGCTGTGGCAGTGACAACCTTGCGAAACTGGCGTTCGCCAGCATAAATATGGGGTATTTAAACTCGAGCTCGACATCGCCTGACCGGCCAGCTATGACTTGACGTTCTAGGGGGTAACCCTGGGGTGAATGTAAAAGAAGCGTGGGGTGGTCTACCTTGCTCCTGTTACGCTTGACACTGTGGTGGATGACTGCAATGATTGCACTGATGTCTGTGGCTGCAGTGGTCTGCAACAGGGGACGCGGGTGGAAAGTATTGCATAAAAAAACATCGATTCAAAGATTAACATATACAGGCAGGCAAAGTATACTGTACACAACAAAAATCGGGTTTCCTTTAAAGTCTCCGAACACGAGTCCATCGTCGGTTTCAAGAAAAACGACGTATGTATATATGTATGTAACTATGTATTTCGTCTCCTTTATTTTTTTATTAATCATGCAACCTCTATGATTCGAAGAATCTGCAATACAACTTAACCTAGGGTATATGTATGCTAAAGAATTTTTCTTTTCCGATGAGGACTGAATATAAAGCAATCAATAAGCTTGATTTGCGTACTTCCTTTTTGCTCAAACACGTTTTTTTTTTGTGGTTCTTAATAATTTATTGGCATCAATACAAAAAGAGCACATCTTGAGAGTGGGCATAATTTTATGCCACTTTATGTGCTAGGTTTGGTCCTCAATCGCTTCGATTTAAATAACATAAAATTTACATACGTAATAAACAATCGAAAAATATGTTCAATAGAAAAACACAAGAAAAACTATCGCAGCAACAAGAAAAGCAGATGTGCTTAACGTATTTTATGTTTCCCACATCATCAGCTCTGGCATAATTTGCTTACCCTCTTTCTTAACAAATACTTTCGCTAGAATCTAAAAATTTGCTCACTGATTGCCGCTCTCATTTTCCACCAAAACCACCCATTAAATTTCCCAATCCGCCGAGACCACCAGCCGCTCCTTGCTGCAGCTGCCTCATCATATTTTGCAGTCCACCAACTCCTCCCATTTGCTGCAACATACGCGGATCAATCATTTTCGCCATTTGTTGATTTAATTTTGCCATTTGCGTGGGATTTACGTTTTTCGTCATGTCACCTTGCTTGAAGAGGCCCTTAACTCCACCCATTTTTTTCACCACTGCGGCAAATTTCGTATAATGAGATATTAGATCGCGAACTTCCTTCTCTAGCACACCAGCACCCTGTGCAACACGAACGTATCGTGTCGGTTGCTTTGTAAATAATTTTACGCCGTCGCGATTATCTAGTTCTCCATCAGACATACTATCCATCATAGTCATCATACGTTTTATTCGTGCCATTGATTCTTGTTCACCGCCTTTGGTCATAAAGTCTTGTGAAAATCCCGGAATCATTCCCATTATTTGCGAAAAAGGTCCCATTTTCATGATATTCTGAAACTGTTCGTACATATCGCGTATTGTGAATTGACCGTGTTTGATCTTTTCAAGAAGCTCTTCGTTGCCGTCCAGTTTAAGTTCATTGACCTTAATAAAAAATATAATGAGGTTATCAGAACGATATATACATATACATATGTATTGTGAAAGAATTCACCTTGTCAATCAATCCCTCGATATCGCCCATTCCAAGAAGTTTACTTATAAATGGTTTTGTTTTAAATGGTTCCAAGTCATCGATATGTTCTCCAGTACCAATGAAAATAATTGGCGAGTTAGTTGATGCAACAGCCGAAAGTGCACCGCCACCCTTTGCATGCCCGTCCAGCTTGGTAATTATAACTGAACCAATGTCGACCTTGTCCTTGAAAGCTTTCGCTTGAGCTTCACAAGCCTGTCCAATAGTGGCATCCATCACGAATATTATGTTATCTGGAGAGACGGCTCTAGAAACAGCCAACATCTCTTCGAACAAAGACTCCTCTTGTTTGTGACGACCCGAAGTATCGACGATGATGATTTCAAAGCCTTCTCGTTTAAACATGTCAACACCTTCCTGTGCTATAACGACAGGATCGATTTCAGTGTAACTGCCGTAGAATGGAATACGCGCTTTTGTGGCATTCTGCTTAATTTGATCATAAGCACCAGCTCGAAAAGTATCGGCACACACAAGACAAGATTTCCAGTTGCGTTTTTGGTAGTGATAGGCTAGCTTGGTACATGTAGTTGTCTTGCCGGAACCTTGCAGGCCGACGAACATTATAACATTGGCACGCCCCTTCACAGGCTGATACGGCTTTACACCTGGATCGACCAATTTGATCAATTCCTTAAAAACGGCAGACTGTATCATACGTCGCTTATTCAATCCACCTGCCATCTCATCGAAATCAATAACAGCTCTCACATTCTCGCGTAATTGCTTCACCAGACGAATATTCACATCAGCCTCAAGCAAGGCTGCGCATATTTCTTTCAGCATTGAATTGAGAGCCTCCTCATTGATTACTGTCGCCTTACTCAGCGATTGGATCGCTGAGGTGATCTTCCGTCCTAAATCTGCCAAAACCATACTTTCGCCGTACTAGCCCGTATTCCCTTGCAATTTTCAGTTTTCACAATTATTTATAAATACTTATTATTTTCTAAATAAAAGCAGAACAAAGTACATAAAATCCAGACTTTTACTTTTTGACACGTCGATGTGCACGGTAGTGAAGGCAAACTATCGATAGCAGTATCATGTGTATAGTACATGAATATAGATACTATCGACATATACGCATTGTGTACGTAATTTCGGGAAATTGTACATACCCAAACATATATATTTACAGAAAAGGCAAAAGGATTAAAAAAAATAAAAATTTATAAAAAAATTTGAAGTGAAAACTATCGTTTGAGTATTGATTTTATTTGAAATTTAAATACGACTTTCTTCTGATTGTGTAATGTAACCCCAAAAGATACAAATTTTCTCATTAAATCGAAGGTACACAGCATGCGTTCGCCGGCAAATGCATTACGCCATTAATGTCAAATAAAATTGAATACGCCTCTCCGAATACGCTAACACAGTTGCCATCGAAAGTAAACGAACTCGCTACTTTTCTATTGCGTTCATGTGTTGACATTGGAAATTACATATGTGGATATGCCAAACAGCTGTTGTTGTTTACAATAATGAGCGACACAACGTGAGGTTTGTAACGGCAAACTTTTCAACGTGGTCAACGCACAAACAAATCAACGCAATGCCGCAGCAAATAAAATTGTGTACCTTCAGCTTTACGTAGTATGCGGCAAACTATCACGACTATCGATAGTGCTGGCCCATCATTGCCCAAAAACCAATGCAATTATCGAAGGTGTCCACTATCGATAGTTTGCATGGTCAGCCAGCTGTCATAATTGACTAAATCTCAATTGTAGCTAGTCACTAACAGATGTCTCTGTAAAGTGTTCTATCAAATATATATCATGACATTTATAGCAAGCTCTCACGACATATTCCATATATCGTGACGAAAAAAGGAGGAAAACGTTGAAAAAATTGTAATTTTTGGGTTTTAAGAGCCGGATTTTGTCCTAGCACGATGTCATCGCGATGAGTAGAGATTATTTCCACCGTAATGTAGCAAGTTGAATGACATAATCCCATGAATCAAAGAACGTAACGTACGTTCTTTGTCGCTTCTTATACATTTACGTTCTTTGGTGGCATGCTTACGTTTGACATCGCGAATTTAATAATATGGCATTACCATTAACTTCTGGCACAGTCGCTATTGATAGCGGCAACGTTTTATTTTACTTTTTCGTGTACAACAAATTTTATATTTTTAATATCTATTAAATTCATAGCATTCCAAAGATAAGTGAGGTGACTTAAAATGACGGGCACCATTCTAGAGAATCTCAGTGGGCGGAAATTATCCGTATTAGTTACCCTCTTATTGTTAAGTCAAGTAGCCTGCTTTCTTTTGGGCGGTCTTCTGGCACCGTTGCCAGCCGGCCACCAAGTCATTTTAGCCATGGTATGTAAAGATACGCCCGGACGGCAGAATGATACGACTTTTTGGCTGCATTTACGCGGCGATGGAAAATGTCCAGCTGTCTCCCAGGAGGATATCGAACAACACTACACGAAAATGGCCAATGAGATAGTATATATATTCCAAATGCCCTTACCGCGCGGCGAAGAATTAGATTATTCACGATGGCAACAAAATTTGATTGGCGTATTGCAAGTGGATATTGCATACGAACCGCAGGTATCACTGGTCGAACCTCCTAAGGATCTACAATTAACTATTGATGCTCGTTTGGCTTACAGGTTGGTCGTGCATACAATTTATGGGTGTAAAATATACTGAAAATCCAATTTTTGCAGAAATAAAGGTGACAAGAAACGTGATTGGAAATTGTATGCACATTCTTTGGAAAAACGTTATCTCGATTGTGGTATTAAAACAGCGAGCCAAGAGGAATCGTTATATTCTTGTGACATGGTGCCACTATTTGAATTGGGTGATCTTCATCACGATTACTATTTGCTGAATTTGCGTTTTCCAATTGATACGGACATGAAAATGAATCTTGATTTTGGGCATATGCACGATCTAACTTTAACAGTAATACATCAGAATGGTGGTTTCACAAAAGTGTGGTTGTCACTCAAAACAGTACTCTTCCCATTCGTCGTGGCCATAATGATTTGGTTTTGGCGTCGTGTACATATCCTACAACGGTCGCCTGCCCTACTCGAATATATGCTTATTTATCTTGGTGGTGCGCTAACATTTCTCAACTTCCCAATAGAATATCTTTCTTTGTTCATAGAAATGCCGTATTTGTTACTATTGAGCGACATTCGTCAGGGAGTCTTCTATGCAATGTTGCTGTCTTTCTGGTTGGTATTTGCCGGGGAGCATATGTTAATTCAGGAATCACCATATAAGTCAACAATTCGATCTCGCTACTGGAAGCATTTGTCTGCTGTTGTAGTAGGATGCTTATCTCTTTTTACTTTTGATATCTGTGAGCGCGGGGTTCAGATGCGTAACCCTTTCTATTCCATTTGGACCACACCTATTGGTGCTAGAGTGGCAATGGGCTTCATAATTTTGGCAGCGATTTCAGCGGGTATTTATTTCCTCTTTCTTTGCTACATGGTTTGGAAAGTTTTCAGGAATATTGGCGCTAAACGTACTTCATTGCCTTCTATGTCAAATGCACGCCGACTACACTATGAAGGTAAGCAAGACTCGAACGTTAACAAATTTAACTTTCTTTATACCGAAACTAAATATCGTGAATTTTTCATTTTAGGTCTTATATTTAGATTTAAATTTCTGATGCTAGCAACCCTGCTATGTGCTGGACTAACAGTTGCCGGCTTTATCATAGGTCAAGTTGCTGAGGGTCAATGGAAATGGGACGAAGATATGGAAATACAATTAACATCGGCTTTCTTAACCGGTGTCTACGGAATGTGGAACATTTACATATTTGCACTGCTTATACTCTATGCCCCAAGTCACAAACAATGGCCTTCTAATAACTCCGATGAAACGACAAGGTCCAATGAAAATATTGTTGCTGCAGCCGCAAGTGAAGAAATTGAATTTAGTCACTTACCTTCCGATTCTAACCCAAGTGAGATTTCTTCCCTCACTTCATTCAGTAGAAAAGTAGCATTTGATTAAGAGGAAGTTCAAAATACTTTTAGGAAGCTGTTATCAGCGTTTTAAATAGACTGAAATTTGGCGCAGAATGGCAATGCAAATCTATGTAACTTTGTATATACAATATTTGTGCATATATATAATGCAATGTACTTAAACATTATGAACATTAGGAGAGTGTTAATATGCCCATATGTATGTATTTACCCACATAACTAATTTTCATATAAGAGTATAGCAATAACCTAACCGCATTTACGGTTCAATGACTTAAATGTTTTCATATAATTATCTTGCCATTAACAAATTACAATCTCAAAAGCTAGCGTCGATATTATTTTACACCATCCATACTATGTTCTTAATATTAGTCTTAGGCACAAACGTTTATAAACTAAGAATAAAATCTAACAGTATTATGTTTGAGGATGTGTATTTAAAAAGTAAGAAAAAAATTCTTTGCCCCGTCACTTAAAGACGTAATAATTAGTGTGTTTTTTTTTTGTATTATTGTATTGATGTAGTGTGTGCATGTACTTTCAACTTTTATAAAATAAACATATATTTTGAATGCAAATAAATTTCTAATGTTAGAGAACCATCGCAAATTTGAATTTAAATTAATTGCGGGAGGATTGTCCGATGTTCTACATTTTATCACGTCTTGCATATCATTTTGTTCTATAAATTCGATCAGCAATTCATAGCAGTTTGCTTTTATATTTTATATGCAAGGATTGATTTTCTATATCCAGGGCTATCACTGAATCCGTCGTAGTCCGAATTTTCGTAAAATCTACGAAGATGCTATCGCTGAATCCGAGTAGCTACGTACGAAGCATACACTTTGAGTGCATAGGTTCGTAGCAATTTGGATTCAGTGACCGCATTTTCGTACATTTTACGAAAATTGGACTACGATGGTTTCAGCGATAGCCCAGATTGTAATTTCAAACTTTTACTAAAACTCTAATAGACAAAGCGCTTATGACTTCAGTTCCGGTATCAAAATGTTGCCTTCATTTCCTGTTTTAGTTTTGATAACATTATACATGTCTCCCGGAATGGAAATAATCTACTGCATCTTTACATGGAAGTGAGTCGATATCAAAGATTAAATAAAAATAAATCCAGAAAGAAGTAGATTCTGTAAACTATTTTAAGTATGTAAAGGTAACCTCAAGTATAGTCATATTGGACTGCAAATTAAAAAAGCATTTTCCTTATAAATAATAGGAATGCGCGTGAACGCACAAGAGTACTCTAATGCTGGACAAAGCGTTCGAAGAATAAATACGTAACTTTTCTGATTTTACCTGAAATTTATGGACAAAGAAAGAAACCATGCTCTGGGTATAACATTTTTTATGCAAATTGAAAATATAGCAACTCCCAGTCTGGCAACTACAAAATTTGACAGCCAGATCTGGTGTTATTGAAAATTGAAAAAGAGGCGAAGAAGAGGAAAAAAACACAAAATACACAAAACAAAAATTTTCCAATGTGTGAAAAAATATTGTTTATTTAAGAAAACGTGAAAAATATTCCAAATATAAACGAAAATATCTGAATATTTGTAATATCACTACTAAAGCTTTATATAACGTGCAGTTGAGAGCAGAAAAACGTATCATTTATATCACAAAGCGCAGAGCGCAAGGTACACACACACGCAATGGCCGCGAATGATTCCGGCGTAGAGACTAGTAATGATAGCAACGATGGAGTCAGTGGTGTCGCCGTTAATATTGGAAACGGTTTATCGGTGGGAATTGGCACCAGTATGACTAAAATTATTGACATTACACCTCCACCGGCCATAATGCCGCCCACCCCAACGTCCTCGCCCAACACACATGAGTGGCCCAACTTCAGTCCGAATGCATTCCAACTGAATCGCGGGGAACATTTTGCGCTACCACACTTGCCACCACTGCCCCTAAATTCGGATTACTTGCTTCATCCGAGCAACCTGCCATCAGGAAGCCATCTCTCGCAATTCAAAATGCGGCTACGTACGCGTAGTAAGCAGCGCTTGCGTTCGAACTATAACAACATTTTAGCAGAGTCAAATGGTCGTAAACTACGTACCGCTGCTACCACCTGCAATATTGAATTACTAACTCGTGTATTAGAATCGGGAGCGGATCCGAATGCGGCTGACGAATATAAACGCAGCCCACTACATTTAGCCGCTTGCCGTGGCTATATACAAATCGTCCAACAGCTACTGAAATTCGGGGCTAACCCAAATGTTGTGGATTCTTTAGGCAATACGCCACTGCATCTTGCCGTCATTTCGGCCAGCTCTAATAATTTTAACGTAGTGGTGCGTGTACTTCTGCAGGGCGGTGCCAGTGTGCATATGTATGATCGCAGTGGTAAAACCCCACTGGAATTGGCAGAGGCAAAGTTGAGGCTATTACGCACACGCTACGACCGTCCTACTCCCGAGTCCGCCAAAATACTTGAAGATATGTGCATGCTGACAACGCTTATTTTGCGCTACATGGTCAAACAACAACGTGAACTGGAAGATTTATCTGCGCTGGAGCAACGTTTGCAGAATTTGAGTACCAGCGACGATCAAGATCAAGTTGTTTCACAGACAGCGGATGAGTTGCTTGCAAGTGTCGAACGTCTGTCCATCAATAAGTAAATGCAATTCAACAAGTGATGATGGCTCAATATAAAAATATATCAGTTTTTTATATCCTCGCTTAAAGTGGCAAGGTATAACTCCATTGTCTAGGTTTGTAATGCATTTAAAAAAAAATCAAAAATGCGGCAACCAAAAGAGTACAATACATATGTATGTATGTATATTATTTACCAAGGTGACGATAGTGAAACGGTTTGAATAACTTTTGATTTGTTTGTGTGATTTAATAACATTTTCTTAATTTAAGACCTCAGCGAACGTAAATTGTCCTCTGCAAAAGTTAAATTCAAATTATTTCGAATTTTCATTGAGCATAGGCCTATTTAGTTTTGTACTTTCTAATAGTATTGAATTGTACTATGTACATATATAAGCGTCGAAGCAACCGATTTCAAAATATGATAAACTATGCCCAGGATATATGTATGTACATATATCTGCCGAGTCTCTGCGAAATGCTTGCAACCGCATAAAAGGCTGTACATTTACTTTTTTAATTAAACATATTTGCGTTCTTTTGCGTAATATTTTTCGATAAAGCGGAAACGTTCATCATTTTTAAGATTTAAGTTTCAAATTTATGTTATAGTGCTTACACTGATTTGAAAAGTGTACAGGAGACGCAATACTTGCGTTCCAGATGCTTAACGATTTGCAGGTTTTTACAGGAAGCCGTTCCAGGTGACCACTACAACAACAACAACAACAACCTTTCATAAGGTTTATGAATGGAGAAAACACCTTTTCCTGCAAATCCTGTGAAACCTGCAAATCGTGAAGCATCTGTAACGCACTTAATATGGGCATAAAAACCATTCATTATGCAGAAAAAACTGTACATTGACAACAACAAACTGATAAAAATATAACAAAACACGTTACAATGGTATTTGAAAATTTTAAGTTTAACATTAAGGTAAATTTACAAAAATATTTAAAACGAAATAAGTGGAAAATTTAGGAAACAAAACAAATTCAAAGTAGAAGTTACAAAAAGATCAATCTCGCATCGCATAAAAGGGGATTAAAGAAATTCATTAGATGCATTGAGTATATACTTACATATGTATACATATATGTATGGAAAATGTGAACTATATGCCTAAATGCAGTAGAGAAACTATCACACCGAAATGATAAATAACTTTATTGATAAAATTATTAAACTGTATGTAATTTCAATTTAATGAGTGTGAAAATAAAGGCATTTGCCGCTTAAACCAAAAACAAAAAATGTTGAACCAAATGAAATGAAATAAGCATTAATGATTATTATAGCTATATTTCTGTAACAACCGCTTTGTCTCCAAACCAAATTTGACAAGGGATGACGGAAAATCGTTCCACAATACAGCAAATTTAGAGTTATTTTTGGGAAATGCTGCTGGAATGAAAGTCCTAGGCCAGATACAAATACGGCAGAATAAGTGCCGATTCACACATTCTAGGTTAACCTCCAGTCGGTTTTAAACGTGAGCTGTATGGTGTTATGTTATTCTCAGCTCCCCGGTTGGAGCCGAGTTCACTTTGCTGTATCCGGCTGTCGGGTGCCGGTTAACTATTTGCTGGCACTGCAGATTCCCATTGTTTAAAATAAAAGCTTTCGCTCCTGCCACCTTCAATAGTGATTTTGCACTTGATTACATGTTGAAAAAAAGTTTCTAAAATATTCAGCGATACAAAAATAACTGAAGTCTTCAAGCGTGAAAGCAACAGAGACTTTGGCTTACCGGCTACCAGTTACTTCGCAATCGGACCGTGTGAAACGGTACTAAGGGCAAATAATTATAAGCGTATGTACTTTGTTGTAGACACAATTTTTGGGAGTACTTTTGGAGTTGGTACATTCGAATTTTCGGGCTTTAAAGTGTAGAAGTCCAACGCTCATTATATCGTCACTACACACGAATAAAGGCGCGCTAGTGTTTTGACGGCGGAAAAAGATGCGACAAAAAATTTTGCGAAAAGATGCTTATGAAAAACTTCGGCGAAGTATGCTAAGCGTCTTTGAAGCTAAAGTTTTTGTTTGCGTCTTTTTTTTGCCGTCAACTTTTGAGCTCACGCCTTTATTCGTGTCTAGTGACGATATATATTGCATATGGGGGAATTCGACTCCTAGGCAATTATTTGTGTTGGGTATAACAAGCACATCTATTGACGTTTTTGCCAATTTCTAGAGCATTGGTAGCTCTTGGAATCACATGTTTTGTCAAATGAAAAAAAAACGTCAAAACAAGCTTGAACAGTTGCATAGCTATCGATGATCGGATTATCGATACTATACGAAATTAGTTTTAAAAACATCGACATGTCGTCGAAAGTATCGTATGAAGTTGGCGCCCAATTTTGATGTGACGATTTTTTATAAACTGAGTCCTACTATCTATGACATTTGTTTCCCTTTTTAGGGTACTTTTTTAATTTAAACTTTTAGTTTATTTTTGGTTGTTTATTGCCGGAGAAGAGAGGGAACCCCAGTTTTTTACTGCAGTTTAATTTTAGTTATTTTCTTCACTATTAGTGCGTTCCAGGCCGTCTAGGATTTGCAGGTTTGCAGGATTTAGTCCAAAGTCGTTCCCGTACGTCTCGTACACATAAGGCGTATTAAAGGCGAGCAGCTGTTCCTGTAAAACCTGCAAATCTTGGGTACGGGGACAGGCTATATTATTTATTTACAAATTCGATATACAAAAAGATAGTTCAACTGTAATGAAATAAATAAGAAGCGTCCAGACACACTCGAAAGTTGTAAAAAATAAATAATTACCTTCATCGATAGTTTTGCAGACCTACAAGCTAGAGAAACTTGCAGTTCTATTGTTTGTAGAGGTGCAAAACTATCGATAGGCAAACCGTCGATAGTATTCGATATTATTTTTAAAACTCTCGATATATCGTCAATAGTATCGTATTTATATGATTTACGCTCAATTTTGGTATGAAGATTTCTTTACATATATATTCGGAAAGACGTTTGGATACCATTGTAAACTAATGCACAGGTTTTTCTATTGTATAACCATTAAGTTAGAAGTAAAGTTATTGCAAATTTGAAATGAATTGAAATTGGAAAAAATTGGGCACTTTGAAATTTTATATTTGTGGTTTTAGATATCCTAAGTCATATATAAAGCATTCAGCATCAATTGAATTTTAAGAACAAGATACCATTTTTTTAACTGAAAAGTAGTGCTTTTTATTAACCTTTTATTAAAACGTATATAGTGGTGAGTAGAAAATATTGAAAGTTTTGGTATAACTTAATTTGTATCAGTTTGTTTACTGGAATAAGCGGTATTTTAAAAGATGCAAGGTTTTCCGTGCTTTTATGTTAAAAGAAATTAAAAGAAAATAAGAAATAAAACTAAAATAAATACTGAATCAATTGTGTCGGACTGTCGATAGAACCAAAAAACAATCGATGGTAGCGAAAAATAAAAAACATCGATACTATCGATAGTGTCGTCGATAGTTTTGCGCGCCTAATTGTTTGTTTACAGTTCCATTTTTTGTTTCCACATAAGTAAATAAATTGAAAGTAAAAAAACACGTCATTAAACTAAATTATACAGAGTCCGATACTACAGTACCAACATTTACATTACACGACCCCACTGAGCGCTTAAATGATACTTATCGAGCTTCTCAATACAAATATCAAGTTTGTACTCATTGTAGAAAAGCTACACAGACCAATTTAGCACAGAAATTTTGAGCAACAATCTTTCAAACAAATTTTCAAATTTAAATTCTTCAAAATTCTTAAATAAAAATGTCATATTCCCCTTTTCAATCAACTGAAGCTGGCAATTGGACGGTGAGTAAACTGAACTCAGATTCCTAGGGCTGATTTATAAGTGATTTGTTATTTTCAGGATTTACCGCTGCATTGTGTACTCTATGAATGGTTAACGAAAAACATGAATTTGCCTAACGATTACGGTACAATCATTGCCTACATAGGGTTATTCCTTATTGCTTGGTATACAATAATATGGGCTATGCGCCTGGTAATAGCTGTCATTTGGCCATTGTTCATTATAGCTTCTGCTATTGTGAGTAATACAATTGCAGACTTTGGTGACCAAAAAGTAGAGCTAACATTTCTTTATGTCATTAAAGGTTGTATTTCGAATACTTCAGTTTTATGATCCTGAAGAAATCACAACGATAATGATGAAATCATTTAGTATCATTGCAGACACTTTGGTGAGTTTGTGTAATTATATTATCACTTACATGCACATATCGACACCTGAGTGGAAGATCGACCAACATATCGCACACCGTCTTCAAAAGGGCCACAACTCAAAATTTGGCATTTTTGAGATTATGCGCTAAAAATGCATACAGAGCTTTTATTTATCTTTCAGCAAAAGCTGAAGCAAATTTTTGTTATAATTTGTTTAAAAGCCTAAGGTAAAGTCATGATTATCATGTGCTAAGAAATAGTTTTTCGCATTTTCTGACAAACGTGTTCTTTTGAGTTGTGACTCTTGAAGACGGTGTGCGATATCTCGGCAGCCAATTCTGAAGTAGGGCGTTCTTGAAAAGTTTTCTGAGTTCGGGCGTATTCGAACTGGCTGCTGAGATAGGTCCTTCTTCCACTCACGTATAGATATGTACATATCGCTAGTTTAGAGTGAAAAGCTGTTAAGTCCAATTTTAGAAATTTTACAGGAAACGAAAAAAATAATAGCCATTTTCAATAAGTATTTTCCAAGACTTTGACTAAAATATTTTGCATGTTTAAAGCAAAGTAAAACTCCATACGAACCAAAAAGATTCTATGCTAATTAAAATCTTTCGTATTAATTTGGAAATTATATCGTACGTTTAATAATATAACGAAGTATTTCAAAATTTCAAAAAACGCAATCAAAGCAGAGATGCTCAACAGACTATGTGAATCGATTTCGCTTTGTTGATGCGCAAAAATAACTTATCAAAATAATTTCATTTCGGAGCTGAATTAATGAAGCAAAACACAATCAAGGTTGAAACGAAATAAATCATCAATCGTTAACATCGAAACAAAATAAATCAACGAAAAGTTGTTGTATGCCATTGCCAGCTCACTATTAACACCTAGCACCTAAATGCATGCTACAGCTTCAGCATTAACGATTTAATTTCTTTTCGTTAAAAACCAAAATAGAATTATTTTGAGAATTACCTAATCGATAACAACAGAATCGTTTCAACAGAAACGATTGCTTTTTTTTGGTAAACGCTAAAATTAACGTTGCAATGCATCCTTGAATCAAAGTTTTATCAATTCATACAGTTGGTGTACTAAAAGACAGATACACATATCTTCGCCATATCTGAGAAATTTGGTTATCTGTTAGCCTCAACATATTCTTCTTATCAAGCTTATTAATTAGATAATGAAATCTCCAAAAACGGAAATGTTGAGTTACATCCCTATATTATTAAACGTGCGATATGTAGCTTAGGCTAATTTTCATTTCATCGAATATAAACGTGAAGAAATAAAACAAGTCTAGAAAACGATGCCTTTTTTTAATTTCTCTTGCTTCCTACATCAAAATATGAGTTTTTACAAAAAGTAGACTTAGCAATTTTTCGCTCTAAGCTAGCCATATCTCGCACTCCGTCTTCAAAAGAGTCACAACTCAAAATAATACGAAAAAATACGAAAATAATACGAGAAAATGCGAAAAACTATTTCTTAGCACATGATAATCATTTTTTTTTTAACAAATTTTAACAAAAATTTGATCCAGCTGTTGCTGAAAGGTAAATAGAAGATCTGTGTACATTTTTATCGCATAATCTCAAAAAAGCCAAATTTTGAGTTGTGACTCTTTTGAAGACGGTGTGCGATATGTATGCCTGTATATACAAATTAACATTTGCATTTTTCTATATCCCAGGTAATGGTCTTCGCCAAGCTTGTTGAATTCGTTTTCGACATTTTCGATTGAACATAATCCACTCAAAAGCGTTTCGACAGAATAAATAATAAAGCAAAATATCCACAAATTTAGCAAGATCAAAGTTGCTGTGAGAGTAAATTATTAAAAATAATGAAAGAAAAAGTCAGAAAATCTAATAAAAAAAAAACAAAACACATTTTGAATTTATAAAATAAAACGAGTGAAAAGGCATATAAATTTTCGGTTTTGCGAAAGACAAAATGTCCGTAGCTGTGCGCTTAGTTGAGGTTTTGACCTTAATCACACTGCTAGGCATGTTGACGGGATTGTCTATTGTAATCGTGATTCTGCAGCGCGTAATCGCCATTACATTATATCTGCTCGGTGTAAGTATTTGCTTATTTAGATATTGCATGTGCATCACCTTTTCATTGTATTTCAATTTTTAATTTCTAGCCTGTAACAGCAACAGTGGGCGGCATATTATATGCTTCGGAAAAAGTACTTGTCGGCGCCTTGATGAGTATACTGAATTTAACTAGAGCTCTTGGTACTTCCACATAAAAATATGAAATATTTAAAATTTTTCGTTGTGCAAGATGGGGAACTACTGTCAATTACTATATTGTATTAACTAAAACGAAAAAAGTTGTAAAATCAATGTGATATCGAGGGTGAATATCGTTTTGAACATTACTTTTTGCTTATTTTTTAAATTTCTTAAAATTTTTAGTTATATACACATTTGTAAACCCCAAATAAACATGTAGACAAATGTTTTTTATATTAATTAAGCTTAGAATCGAGCCCTAAAGAAAACTCACAAGAAATATTTTTCATTATTTCTTAACTCCACAAATAATTTGGCGAGATATTTGGGAAACCAGTATTTATGATTTCATTTATATTTAGAAAGGTTCCTTTAAAAGTATGTTTTTATTATTAACTTATCTCCATTAATATTTCTAAAAGATTTGGAACGTAGCATTTGCTAGTGTACAATATACCCCCAACAACGCACTGATACAGCCCAACCAGCAAAAAAAATGCGGATTTTTTTTTCGTTTACTGATTCTATTTCCGGATATTTTGACAGTCCGTTTTGTCGCTCAAGTGTGCAAAATAAACGTTACGACTAGAAAAGTACTGAGAGAAAATTTCTGATTCTATTTTATTCATTTAAAACGTTTTTATTCTGAACTTCACAGACGCTTTTTCATAGTTCGGTGAAAAACACGAATCCTTTTGTTGCTGACGGCATTCGAACCCTGTTTTCAATCGTGCAATTTGAACAAATATTTTAATTCGGATACGAACATGGTGAAATTAATATTTGATAGGACCGCATTCACAGCTGGCACCACCGCTCCGTTCTAAAAAGTGCAAATGTATTTCAGAAAAGGGCAAATGTATTTCAGACAATAATTTTTTTCTAGGACAACTTTTGCAACGGCAAACCTCCGAGTGTATCTCTACTTAATTTTCACAAAAGGGCAAATGAGTACCGCTGAGTAATAAAATCAAAATAAAATAATACACCAATCGAAAGAAACTATATCTACTGCAGATTGTGCTCGTGCTAATTGATTACTCATCTATTTTTTCGCAGATGCTTTGGCATTGCCTGTTGGTATGTAATAAACATACATCTACATTCGTATTTATGTAATAAAAAAGGCCGTTACAAGCGCTGGTTCTGGTGTGTTCTGAATTTCATTTAGCTTTTTCTGAAATGCATTTGGCCTTTTCTGAAATACTTTTGTGCTTTTCTAAAATACTGTTGGAAAAGGTGTAGAATGGCGGTGCCCTTAGTCTTGCTAGGTCGCTTCTCCGTCACCAAGATGCTGAAATTCGACTCCCTCTGCTGGATTGAATTAGGAGAATCTGATTGAGGAATGCAGGCGGCGAGTTTTCTTAATGGCATCCAACTGCGCAGCGCGCTTAATGCATATGAAAAAGCGTTGCAGCAACAACCGAAAAGAACGGAAGATTTCCTGAGAGACCCGGAAAAGAAGGTTAAGGCCGAAGATGAAGCTGTCCTATCCCATCCAATTGGATGAACAACTCAACCCCATAAACAGAGGAGACGAGGCGTGCAACATGATTGAAAAGATAATTTTGAGTACTGTATATATTTTTCAGATTCTTCTAGAGTACCTGCTTAACCTACTTTACTCGTCATAAATTTAAATATTTTAGTAAGTGGTACATTTTTTCCTTTGAAGCCTTAAATAATTTAAAAAACAGAAAATTTACAGTGACTGGTAATTTGTCTTTCAACCGACGTAAATAATAAGGCTATTAGATTAACCGATTATTCGATTCCTAACCGTCCGCATGCCTATTATTCGGTTAGTGGTATTCGAAAAGTCGCCCGCCTTCGACTATTCGAATAGTTGCTTTGCTTCGACTACTCGAGTATTGTAGCAAATCGAATTTCAGTAGCCGAACTTTCATTGAAATTGAATTGAAATTTTTCACAAATGAAAAAAGCATATCGCTACCTAAAGGTGAAAAGGTGCCAAGCAGGGTTCGTATTTGCACACACATGCTCTGCTCACACACACGCCAGAAACACATTCAATTTGTACTCACTGCTCATACACATGTGTGTGCATAAGTGGAAAACAAACTCTGCTCACAGAAAAGTGTGTGCTGTTTGTTATTAAGCACATGCACATGTGTGTGAGCCGATTTTTGTACAAATTTCAGCCCATGCACATGCACATAATATATTTTTAAAAGAATTTGTTTATTAAACGTTATTTTTTGAAAGACAATTCAATAAAAAGTGAGATGTTGTTTGTTTTTTTATATATAAAAATAAAGTACACACATGTGCCCGTGCTTTTTACCAAACGGCACACACATGTGATGTGAGCAAGTTTTTAATTTTTTATATGCACAGCACACGTGTGTGAGCGTAAAATGTTAGGATGTGCTGCGCATGTGTGTGCAAATACGAACCCTGGTGCCAAGTCCATTTTTTTTCAAAATTTAACTTTTATTAAATCGATTTTGAATTTGGTTTGAACCGAATTCTGCGATAGGGTGTTCTATCAAATTCTGAAGTGGCTGTCGAGATAGGTCGATCCTCCTACTCAGCCATCGAAATGCAATATTAAATATTACGAATGTAACAAAACTATTCATATTCATATTTATGTACGAATAAATGCAAAAAACTCGAACTTAAAATATTCGATTGACCGGAAATGAACGGTTAAACGAATAATGCTATCGATTAACTGTAGTCGACTTCAGTCATATTCGAATAATTCGGTTAATCGATTAACCGAATAGCCCGAGCACTAGTACATAAATATTCATAGATAACTCATACGCCAAGGCAAGCGACCAATTTAGTCTCGCATGCAATTAATCAAGCGGAGTTCGGGATCACTATGGACTATTGTAATTTTATTACCAACCCAGCCAGCAAAGAAACGTTAATTTTGCTGACAGTGCAGTTTAGTTCAATTTTCCGTATCCGAAAACGAATAGAAAAAACTCCTACAGTTATCATCAATTTTCGTATCCGGAATACGTTCGAAAAAGATGATGTCATTTGAAAGTAGTGATTGTATTTTATTTGCATGCAAGCGTAGTTGGCAGTGGCTGAGCGGCAGAGGGGTGTGCCGCTATTTGTTAACTTCCAGAAGGGTTCGAATTCCGTCAGGCGCTTCCTAATTTTATTTTATTTCTTTTGAACCATGAAAAAATATCTGTGAAGTGCAAAAGGAAAGTGTATTGAACGAAAAATTCAATCAGACAAGTTTCAGAAAAAAACAGCCGAAAACGTATCCGTTTCACACACTGCTGTCTGTACATACGTTCGTGCCGAATACTTTAGTGGGAGAACGGATCGTCAAAGTATACCGGAAATGGAATCAGTAAACGGACAAAAATCCGCACTTCATCCACTTTTTTGTTATTTTTCGGAATTTTTGATGGCTGGGAGACTCGTATTTCAAAACTCCAACACAAGTACTTGATTATTGGTCTATTAAATAGCCAAAGAGTTTGGCACGCCGTGGCGTATGAGTTATCTATCAACATCAACATTTAGGCCGGCTGAAAGAAAAATTTCAAGCCAATTGTCTGATAGCCTCTTGGAGGTTAAAAACTAAATTGCCCACATCTACATAAACTCTTTCATTTTCATCAAAACCGTTAACGGTTGAGAAAGTATCTTGAAGCTTTACAACAAAAGGTAATATTTCCTTCTCTAACGGCGGTTTCACACGGGTTTTTGTCAAGATTACGTTACTAATATGTGTTCTAAAAGTGAAACAAATCTGATCATAAATATGATTTTTTAGGATAGTTCCCAATCCCTGCGGCACCTATCGAAAGGCAAACACACTGATCCTCCTAAAAACTTGTGCACAAAACAACAATCATTCAATGCGATTAAAATCTGGGAGAAAATCGTTCACAATTAAATGATTCTTGCGATTTTATATGTGTATAAATGTAGGTGTATAAAATTCCATTACCTTATAGTAAGCGGTTCCAGAGAAAAGCCATATCAGAATTTTAGTTTGTATGGGCGGTGCCACGCTTCCTTTTTCAAAATCTACCACTTTTCGCCGTAAGTACGGTATTGACAACATATGTTGCTGTGTCCAATTTCTGGACGTTAGCATAAGTGGCTCCAGATATAAGAGATATGAGAATTTCAGTTTGTATGGGAAGTGCCACGCCCACTTACCCAGATATAGTGGTTTTCACCTTTTAGTCTATATGTCAGATGCCACACCCCCTATGTATCGGGATTAACATTACTGGATTAGAGAAAGTTATGCCCTTTAAATCGGTATATTTTTCATTGAAATCGAGCGAGCGGTGCTTTCAAAAAAGGGATTGCAAAAATTTCTTGTGGCGTATTTATATATAGATAATTAATTATTAATGGCTGGGTTATGTAAGAAAATTAAAATAATCATTAAAATTAAAAAATGCAAAAAAAAATTTATGATTACTAATCGTAATGGAAATTTAACAGCTCTGTTTTTTTGTGTTTTGTTTTCGAATTTAATCGATTTAAAAACGGCATCTCTAATGGATTTATGTATACTTATGGCGGCCGTTGTGGTGTAGTGGTTAGAAGTGCGCACTACCAAACCGCAGGGCCTGGGATCGACCCCAATTTCCGACTAACATCTAAAATAAAACAAAAGAAAACTATTTTTTTTTATGACGGTCGTCTCTCGGAAGGCAAAAAAAAGCTAGCTACAAGTTGGTTATTTTTATCAATTGATAATTTTTCACTGCAGGGTACTCAAATATGTATGACATACTTAGATACTTCTCCCCTAGGGAAGGTTACATACATACACTACACTTATACTTATATACTTATATGTATGTATACACTTAAAGGTAGGTACATCCATACATGCATATGTTTTTTTTCATTCATCTGTGCATTATATCAAGCCAATTTGTATATCCGCGGATGTGTATTCAAAACATCTTCAATGCGCATGTCTACGCAATTGTTTACGTTTTTAACTGGCATTTACCTATTTAGTCGAACTGAATGAATACATATGTACATATACATATACATATATCTACATATGTGTGATAAAACGCCGGCAAAATATCAACATTATCAAATCCTGCAAACAAACACTTGTTACGCTCCGCAAAATGCCGGCCACGTGAGAGGATAAAATATAAACAATCGCTTAGCGCAAACGTTAACTTTAACTCGGGCATGCGCCAATAACCGTTAGAAGAGTTAGTCTATATGAATGACCGTAGACTGCTATTTTCCCTTTGTAACACATAGCCTTCAAGCGATGAACTCACTGGGTTTTGACGTTATACGCGAACTTTGTGAAAAACGGTGTAGACATAAAGTTTTTCCAACAGAAAATTTATCAGTTTTTTAGATTTCATTGTTAGATTTTGCACCGTTAAATAGTGAATTTCATTTGTTACAATTAAAAAAGGTTATGGTAATTTAGTAATATCTAGTTGGTAAGGGTCTAATCGATAAACAAGTGAAGGAATGCTGGAAGAAATTTTTTCTACATAGATATCATAGTTATAAAAAAATACATAGTTTTGTAAATAAATAGTTAAATATATTAAAAATATAAAGGCGAGGTATCTGTTTAAAGTTAAATACAAAAAAATGGCATGCTGTTCGGTACCGCGGACGCATTATCTGTTAATTTGTTTCTTTCTATTGTATCCAAACGGTGCCAATTTTGTACCAGGAGAAAAAATCAATTACAATCTGTGAGTTACAATTCTTCGTTAGCTTGTGATATTGTACCAATGAAATAATTATAATATAACGAATATAATAATTCATCTGTATATAGTGTACATTCCTGGGCTGATAAATTAGGCATGGAGCTGTTCCATTTGGGTGACTTCATTACCAGGCGAAAGGAAGTTCAAGAGGTAAGCATTTTTAGCTACAAAGTGTAATCCTCAAGTAAAATATTGATTTTTCTCAAAAATTATCTTTGAGCAATATGGGTTAATTGCACATCAGAATTTACGATGCATTAGCTCTGCATGGGGCAACTGACGTAATTTGTTTTTAATGACACTACGATTTTTCGCGACTCCGCGAACTCCTTTATGAGTGGACAGATATCCCATTGAAAGTTATGTCAAAAAGCTGCTTTTAACTTTAGAGTCGACTTTATTTTGACTATAACTACGGGCCATTGTAGATAATCTAAACATGAAAGAATTGTAGATTTATCAGACAAATATGGGTCGTTCTTAAAAAACATGACCAATTGGTGTCCCCAGACTTTACTATTTTATATTTTGTTTCTTCAAAAAGAAAATAGAAAAATATCTGCATTTTTATAAATTATTATCGATTCTACGTAACTATATTATAAAAAAAAAATAATTAATTATCTGAAAATAACTTAAAAAATATTTTCAATGTCAAAGGTTTAGCAAAAACCTGTGTCCCGAGCCAATTTATAAAAATTTAATAGTTATTTTCAGTTGAAATAAAATTGAAAAAAAATAATATTTACAATTTTTGTTATTCAGTTTGTGTATATTAATACCATATATAGAAAAGAATGATGAAAAATAATTTTTTTGTATAATTTTTATGAAGAAAATTTGTGTCCCCAGGTTTTGGTCCCCTCTGTTACGTCCACTCATTTTATTGAAAAATGTTTGTTAAACGTTATGACGCGTATATTTCTCTTATGCTTCTCCATTATAACTTCGCTAAAATCAACAAAATGTGTTTTGAACTGTTCAGTCTTGTTTAGTGCGTTGTTGAGTAAGGAACCCAATTGTATGCCGGGTACGTACCCTTATTCAGTGTCAACTCTGTTACTGTTGAAAAACGGTGAGTAAAGTGATTTTTTATTTATTTTATAATTTTTTTATAAATATTTTATGTACATTAATTAAGTGGACAAATAAATTCTCCAAAATTCGAATAAAAAGCTAAAATATGGTATTTTTGAGTTAATTTGTCCCCTCTGTTACCGGTCCACTCTGTGACTTATTAACTCCAAAAACTCCAAAAATTAAAAAAAATACTGCTGGTTATGGATTCCTATTGTTGATACCATCCGTAACCACATGAGGCCAATTATAAACATATTTGGCCAACTTAATTTTTAAAAATTACAAAATTCAGAATGGTCATGTTTTTTAAGAACGACCCATATATCAAAATTTTTTAAGTTTTTGCCTAATGGCAAAAATTTTAAGAAAATAATATCGTAGCTCTTTGCCGAAAGAGCTTTATAGAACATGAATGCAAAAGTGCAGCGTAAAAAGAGGTCATTGCTCCAGTTATTTAATAAGTAACGAGTTAATAATAAATTTAAATATGCCAGATAGAGTTTTAAAATTATATTAAAAACAACAAGAATGCAATGAAGCGGCGAAAAGAACAGAAAAGTACACATCTTAAAATTAAATGGTCTCACTTACTTATAAACATACATACAGTGGTGGAAAAATAAATAGGGACACGACATTTTATCAAATGTTGGCTACGTTTGTATAAAATTTTTTAAATTTTTTTTGTTTTAAATCGCGTTTATTTTTGGCAATTTTTCAACGCATTTTCTTCGATACAAAGTATGTTCGATAATTTTAATTTGCATGGAAAAAGTGCCTAATACGTTCAGAATAAAAATTATCAAAAATTAACGCGATTGTTCAGGAACTTTAAACTTGCACTTTATTAACTAAAATTTAATGGGCTATAAAACTACATACTCAAAAAAATTCTAAAAAATCTGATTAAAAAGGCGAAAACTTAGATGCAATTTTGCAGAATTTTTATAATTGTTGCACAAAGTTTGACAAATGAATTGATATAGTTTTTGTTAGATAATCAGTTATACCACTGTATGTATATCACGGACATTTTGAGAAAAAAATTTTCGAAAAAAAAAATCCCGAACGTAGGGGTCGCCTTTTCATTATTTCGTCATATCTTCGGCCTTTACTGTCGGATCTTAAAGTATGATATATTGATGTTTTTGCCTCGAGGCGACAATTTTTTTTTTGTTAAAAAGTTCATTGGCCTCAAGTTCCATGTTCTGGTACTTACCCGCCAAATCTCAGCTATTTTCACCCTAACGCACACTTATTGTCAGAAAATTAAAGTTCACCAAAAATCGTTAAACTTTATACTAATAGATATTTTGAAAGCCGTTTTTTTCTGTTCGAAAAACTCGAGAACAGATGTGCCGATATTTTTAAAATTTTGGATGTTTTCTCCAGATCCTCCAAGGATAATTATAGAAGCAAAATAATTTCGATATTTCTAGGGGCGTGGCACCTTCCATACAAACTGAAGTTTTCACACAGCATACCTCTGAAAGTATTCAACGTATAGTATAGAGATACATTATATCAACGCCAAACTAATGGCAATAATGGGATTAATTAAAAAAGGGGGCGTGGCAGCTCCCATACAAACTGAATTCCCACACCACACACACATTCTAGTGGGAGCTTTTTTCAAAAATCGCCACGGATAGATCGACGCAAAATTTAATTATCTTTTATTTTAAAAAAAGAAACCTGTACACACTGTGGGTAATTTGCGCTCTCAAAATTGATTTGTCCTTTTTGCAACCTTTTTTGCCCCACTGTGCGACGCTAGGTTCCGTCAAACAATTTTTTTTTCGAAATTGCCTTGCAAAAATTTTATAATTCAGGGGTGTACAGCAAACCTTTTTTTTTCTCGAAAGTTGCTATAGTCTAGTTGTACAAATCTGTTAAATCTATCGTTACTAAAGAGAGTAAGGTAAAAAGGTTTAGGCTAATTCCACCCACATAGCGAGTTTTCGGGATAATTTTGATAATTTTTTACATACATATGTACATATATTATTACTTCATTAAAAAAAATGTTTCAGCTACTTAGGGCCGTTTTCTCAAGTAACCTGTAACTTTAAAGCTCATTTTATATTTAAAGGTTGGATTAAAAATAGAGCTATGTCTTAAGTTAAGCATTTATATTCTCAGTTTTTGACGTATGTATGTTTCTTTGTCGCAAAATGCTTTACCTTACAGATAATCACAAATTTTAATGCAATCTTTAAATATAAAGTGAGCTTTAAAGTTACAGGTTACTTGAGAAAACGGCCACAGTAAGGCAAAGAAATTGGCGATAGTCAGAAAAGTGTGCTATCCTACCGTCTTGAGACCAGATTTTTTTTTGGACTATCCATTCGAGAAAACATATAAAATAGTTATGTATGTGTGAATAAAATAAAAAAATATAGTTTAAAAAACTAAAAACTCGCTTTTATAATTTCCATTCGTACTGTAACCAGATTACTTTAAAGCTTAGTATCCAGCTCTTAAGAAAAGCAAAAACTCCATATAAAATGACGTACAAGATGGCTAAGAAATTTTCTTGAGTCAAATTTCCTTAAGGCAGTACGCAGTTCTTCAGAAATTTAGTACGCTTTCTACTACGGTTTTCTAAAGTTTTTTGTGAAAAAAGAGCACAAGGCAACCCAGGTTTGCAACAGAAATATATGCCCGTTCCATTATTTCTTGAGGAAAGAGTGAGGCAACAGGCTGTGCGTTATCAAAAATGTCAAAATTCCTTGGACACACACGCGAAATAATGGCAATTTTTTCTTGACCGTTTTCTTAAGAGCTGGATACTAAGCTTAAGAATGAAAATTTAAAGCAATTCCCATTCGTACTGTCATCAGGTATGTAACTTGATAAAGAAAATCGCTGCATATTTTAGGCGCATCAATATTACATAGTTACATCCCAAGCGAGGTAAAAAAGGAATGCTCAGTTAAAACACCGTACGAAAAAAACAAAAACAAAAAAAAATCTAAGTGCACAAAAGGAACGATATACTCACGAAACTATGGGCCAAATACAGTAAAACTGCGTTTTTAGTTGTTCTCTGTGACATCAGAATTTTTTAAAAGGACTTTGAAATTTTTTAAGATATAGTTAATGAAGAAAATAATTATATTGTAGAACGACAATGTGGGTGCCAATTGATTGATGAAAATTTGGTAGAATTTAAAAACATTGAAGATATATTTTTTAAGCTAATAGAGTTAGGGGGATGAAATTCGAGGATGTGGTCCTGTGTATATTAGTCCTTAACAATTAATTTTTTCAAAAATAAGTTTTAAAACCCATTCGTCCTTATGCACCAAAAAATTTAATATATTTTGTATTTTACAGAATTGTCCCCTTAATATTTTTGATATTTTAAAGTCCTTTGGAAAAAAATCTTGACGCCAGAGAGAAAAACTAAAAACGCAGTTTTAAAATATTTTGCCATAGGTTTCGAGAATATATAATTTTTTTTTTGTGTGTAAAATTTACTGTCGCTCGGTGTAATAGTTAAAAGTGTTTGTGATTGTCATTACCGCAATATAACTCGTTATGATAAATTTTAACTCCCCCAATTAAGTGACGAAAAAAATCTTTACGGGGGCAATTTTATAAGTCAGTGATTGTTTGATTTTCCTGCGAAATAGATTTAAAATCCCACTGTTTCTGTCAGCTACCACCAAAATTTTTAACGCTTTGTTACTTACTTTGTGTTTGACAGCCTTTGAAAATAGACAACCATCACACGTGAATTAGTTTACGAATTACTCCTTCATCCAGCATATTCTTTAGATTTATTGTTTCTAAGCTTCGTTGGTGAGAGATTTGAGTCGAATGAAGAGGTCATCTCAAACTCAAATAAGTATTATTTTGGAAGAACGCTGGTTAAGTAGTCAACCTTAAAGGAGACCATACAGGAGCCGAGAAAATATCTTTTATTCGAAAAGTCACCGATTTTTTAAACTGCCCTCGTATATTCTCATAACTAAAATTTTATTTTATTTTATTTGACCTTAACGTGAATCTATATTTTTGGTATACTACATTTCTATCTAACTGTTTCTTTACAAAAGAGTTTCAAAGAAGCACAAGTGGTGTCGCGTTCTGGAGCCAAAATTGTTGAAAACATGGCGCACGATGTCAAAATGATGATGGATTTAAAAATAAGCGCAGTACGGGTAAGGAATAAACTATTTGATGATAACAAGTATGCATTTTTAATTTTTAAATTTATAATAACATATGTACGTAATTTGTCTTAACTTAAAACGAAAATATTCTTAAAAAAACGGCAGCGTATTATGGATACGGCGGAGAATACCGCGCTCTCACATCAAAACGAAAAGGAGGATCAGTTTTTTTCCTATTACAATGCCAAAGATATGAGAGAACCCGATGATCCTATACCAACACCAGCACCTCGGGAGCTGGATGATATGGGCGAACCACATATTTTTGTACCGCCCAAAGAGATTGTTCTAACACCGAAAGCTGAATTTTTTAATACGCCAGTCAATCTGAGCGTCAGTTCAGTGCACGTGCCCTTGAATGTTTTCGATCGAGGTTGGATTTTCTTTTCATAGATTTTTAGTTTGGAAATTTTGCACAATCATCCACATACATTTTAATTAATTTATTATATAAAACACAAGTACACACTACATACATACATACATACGTACGTAGATATTTATGTACATGCATTTCATCGGTGCATTTTCTTGCTTTTTTAAATACAATGCTTGCTGTAGTGTATGTATTGTATTTGAGAAAGCCCACTTGGAGTTGCAATAAATTTCGTCAGGATATCTTGCGCAGACACTTTTCGTGCCCACGCTGTACCTTAACGCCTAACTTATGTATATGTTTTCATGTATGCTTGAAATGCTTTTGAATGCACCAAAATGACTGCGCAAATGATTCTGGCCAAAGTTAATATCACTTTCAAGCCTGCTCGTACCGAAGGACCGAATTTTTGACCGTTGTTCATGAAATATTATATTGATTGAATACTGGAAATTTGGACTTGTTAATTTAAATAAAAACGAAAATTTTGTAAAACTAAATTAAGGAAACGCTTGCAACATTTGTAGGCTTGTTCTAATAATTCGATTATCATTGTATATATTTTATGCTCTTTGACTTAGCTCTATACCATAATACAAAAAAATAAATCGTGTTTTATTGGACCATTAGAAAAACATTAAAATCATTTTCTTATGAATTCTAAAAGTGTTATGCCTCTCCTATTAAATTTAGAATTTTTCATAACGGCGACACATTCATATTCTACTGGGTGGGTCATTTAGCGTAAATTCTGTCACTCTCAAAATGTTATTGAATAAACCTACATATGTACGTATGAATGTACATTAGGGTGGGTCATATTGTTCGGGTAAGAAACCATGGCAATGAGTATAGCAAAAACGTAATCTTCGAAAAATTCTAATAAGGTTTCTCTAGAAATTCTAAGAAGATTTCTCTAGAAATCATGGGTCCCCCATGAACAAATTTTTGATCCAGTGTAACCAGCACTATCCAGTTTTATTTTATTTATACGCGAAATTCGAGTGATTGCCGATTCGACAAATATGTTTATGCATTCAGGACAAATATGTTTATGCGTTCAGGAGCTATGACGGTTCATGATTATATTTCGGACAAAGAATTTTGCATACGTATTACAAGTAAAGAAACCGAAAGAAAGGGCGAAACCGAACTACCCATACCCGAAGTACTTCTTTCTGTTCGGCGCTGTAATCACTTAAGCGATTTTGGCTAAGTCCCTGAAAACATCGCGTCATTTTTTTTTCTGCTAAATACGCCAACTGACGTCAATTGAAAACGCCAAGTGCTTCTTCACGCGGAATCCGCGTTGTATGCTTTCACGGTTGAAGCATTTGTGCCCATTCCTACGAGACGACCGAGCCAACGGGCCCTTGTATTTTAATCCGCTACACTATTTTTATGGCATTGTAAAGTTCACACAGCTCACCCCAAGGGCCGTCTCATAGGATGTGCCATTGTGTAAGCTTTTGAGCTATGTATATATGTACTATGTAGCACCACGAACATGGGGAGTGACTAGTAGTGTGATTATTTTCGGTGTTTATGCTGGTTCTCAAATGGACGAAGCGCTCTGGGTTTTCGAAATTATGATTTCCAAAAGTGACCTGGTGACGGGGCTTCATTGTCCCTGCTAACTGTTTGCTTGTTGACAGGAGATAGTTCGTCTTGTCCTCCATTCGTTTTGCTTCCATATCCAACTGCGAGAAAGCAGAACAAACATTGCAATTGTTCAGAGCGATGGTGTATTGAAAAGACTGAGGAAGAAGTACTTTAGCGTACAAAAATTAAGCAGAGCCATGCAGAGTTAAAGGAGACAAGCTTCCTTTAAAAATGCATTCCAGAGAATGAGAGGTCGCTTCTGAATAAATATTTCGCACACAAACTTATAGATATGGCATTACAGTAAACTGCAGGGCATACAAAACAATAGGGTCCTTTTGATTGAAAGCAAAATGCCAGGCGGCTTGTTAAGAGCGAAATACACCACACAAGCGGCTTGTCAAACATTCTTCAAACCTACTTTTCCCATTTCGCCATACACCATGCAAACATGACTCGTTCAAGCAAAGAATTTTAGTTTTCTTCCAGTTCGCAATGCTAAATATTATGGTTTTCTTTCATTTTCCTCTCTTACGTCCTTACTCGGTGAAAATTTCGTTGCGAATGAGGCGATTTTGCTATACACAACGCAAGCGGTTTGATCAAACATCAACATGGCGGCCAGAAAATCAAAAAATTTTGATTTTTGCTCAAATTTCCCTCAAGCGGTTTGTCAAACCTTCAAACACCCCCATACACAGCACAAATGGCTTGAAGCAAAGGGAAATTTCGCTTGGTTTGTCAAGCCGCTTGTGTTGTGTATTTCGCTCTTTAGGTAAGCAAAGCGAAAACTCTTCATTCTGATAGCAAACATGACTGGGCTTATTGATTGGGTCAAGTCAGGCAAACTCTTTAGCCAGCAAAATACTTAGGGGGCACGAATTCTTTTGTAATCCAGACAGACTTAAATAATAAATATAAAATCGAATATTTATCTTGTAATCCGGACCGACCACGGTCTCGCTAATTCGGATCGCGCAAAACTGTATCCGGAAAACAAAAGTATTCCACTTTTTTAAATAAATTTTGAGTTAATATTCCATTACTTTAAAACGGTAAAAGTAGTTTCTATTGAAGTCATTGTAATAGTTTTTTTTTTGTCATAATAAATGAACAAACAATTATAATTGTTTTTCCTCAAAAATTTTAACGCCTTTGGTAGTCCGGATTGAGCTGGTTCTAATTGATTCGGAGTTGCGAGGTTCTACTGTATTTGTGCTAATAAAAGGACCGCATAAAACGACTAAATTGGAGAAAAAATATCTGCATTAAGAACTAACCGCCAAATGACTCAACCCGTGGAATGCTTGACACACTCGAGATAATCATTTCAGCTAAACTTTTTCATTTAAATGTATTTTTAAAATTTTTAGCACCTAGTATAAGTAATTCTTACAAAACGACAAATCAAATCTAATAAGAACCAAAATTTTTCTCCCTACAACACAATACCTCCACAAACACACAAATGCTTATCATTGCCATGAACAATGCAAAAAATAAAAAATAAACATCATGAAAAATGTTATAATTTTTATACAAAAAAATCACTCACGCATACACATTCATTTTGGCTGCGATAGCCAAGGATGTCATCAAATCCATTCAGTGGTCGGAGAATTTAGATCAAATATTTCGTGATAATTACAAAAACGATCCAACATTGTCGTGGCAATTCTATGGCAGCTCGACCGGTTTCATGCGCCAATTCCCGGCGGCCAAGTGGAAAGCCAAACCAGTCGACTTGTATGATTGCCGACTGCGTTCATGGTATATGGAGGCAGCGACAAGTCCCAAGGACATCATCATACTATTGGACAGTTCTGGCTCTATGAAGGGACAGAGGCTAGATATCGCAAAGAAGGTTGTAAATACAATACTTGATACGTTGGGTACCAATGACTTTGTGAACATCTTCACCTTTGGAAAAACAGTAGAGCCGGCCGTCAAATGTTTTGAGGATACACTAGTTCAAGTATATAAAGTTTTTTATTGTTAATTGCTTTAAGTCACTTTCTGTACAATTAATTTTTTTTTTTTAATTTGCTGTTTGCTGGACATTTTAGTTTTTCGTTTAGTTTTTGAATAGTTAATTATGTAAGTGATCTTTTTTGTTGGTGCTAACACGTTCAGAAAACAATACTCAGAATATATACTACCCATTTCTCTACTGAGGTTTGATCTGCAACAGAAATCCACGAGCCAAAGCTTTTACAATCATTTCTAAGTATTGGAATTATTAAGGTCGCTACCTCTTTGTTGGCGTGAAATTGAGAAAAGCTGAAGACACAAAACATGAATCTGAAGTTAATACTTTACAGGCCACAAGACCGTACCCTTACATATATGGTACTAGAATAAAGGTGTTTCCCATAATTTGAATAAATATTGTTCTAAACTATCCCATTGTCTCTATCACAAATAACTTTGATGCTCTTCGATATTAACAATTCAATTGCTTTTCAATCTTAGACAGATTAGTTTTCGAAAGAAGAAACTCGCCAAAAATCTAAGCAATATTTGCCTCTTTTAGATTCATTTCATATCTTCTTATTCCTATTTGGCACTACAACCGGTTGTCGGTTTGGGCCGAGACCAAATAGCTTCTCCAATTGCCTCTCTTCTGTGCAAATTTGCGCCAGTTGCTCGGTCTACAAAACTGCATACCAAAAAAATTTAATTGAAATTTATATTTTAATTAAAATTTGTTAGATTTTTCTAAGCTCTGTATAAAGTTTGACTTACATGATTTTGGTTAAAGCGTGAACCATATATTTATAACAAATTCCAAAAAAAATAAAAATTACTTTAAAACCCTTGCAAATATTCAACAAAAATCTGCATGTACTCATGTTTGCTCCCCACTGTATGTAATTTAATTCTGGTCGGTTAACCTTCACCATCAATCGTAAGTTTAAAGCCGAGTGGTGGGAGGTCTGTACTATTAATCGTTGGGGCCAAAATTTTACTTTGGTTTGCTTGGATCGTAAAATTGTTTTTTTTTTACCTGTCGCTAAATGATGCCGCTCAGCATATTATATGTAAGAATGTATTTCTTTTGGAAAGGAATTTTTTATAAAAACCTAATCGCTCGTAAGAAGACGGCCTAGGTTCCTCAATTATATGGCAATATTAAGACGCATATCGGGAATTAGAGGCGAAGCTCCACTATTATTTAGGCAAAAATAATAAATCATTTTGCTATTATTTTATGAAAGTACAGCTTCTATTATAATTGTTTCAATGAGATATTCTTTTAAGTTTGGTCATTACTTTTTTATTTTTATTTGTTATTTTTTAGTTTTCGTCTTATTATTCTTAATAACCCACCATCGTGCATTACTATATATATTTAATAGTATTTGATAATTATATATTTATGTACGATGGTAACCTTCTGTTACTACATTTTTTTTTTAATGCTTTTTACTGCACTTCATACTCACATCCATTATTACACAATAACATTTCCTCCCATTCCCCATTCATAAGGCGAATCTTGGCAATATTCGGGAGCTCATGGAAGGTGTTGACTCAGTAAAAATTGCCAACATTGCCAACTTCACTGCTGCATTGACGAAAGCTTTTGAAGTTTTGGAACAATTTCGTACGGAAAATCGCGGCGCGCAATGCAATCAAGCCATTATGATTGTTAGTGATGGCGCTCCATTTACCTATGAGGATGTATTCGAACAATTCAATTGGCGTGATCTACCATTTAAACCCGTACGTGTTTTTACCTATCTAATTGGCAAGGAAGTAGCCGATGTTAAGGATATCAAATGGATGGCTTGTGCCAATCAAGGCTATTATGTCCATTTGAGTGATATGGCCGAAGTCCGTGAAATGGTACTCAATTACATACCGGTAATGGCGAGACCTCTGGTTCTAGGTAAACATGATCACCCTGTTGTGTGGACGCAGGTGTATGCTGATGTTATTGTAAGTGCAGTGAAAGAAAAATATGTCAAATCCAATGTGAATGTTGAAGGATTTTCTTAAAATTTATTTAATTTTATTATTTAAGGACCCAAAACTATCCGATTGGCTGTGGGAAATGAAGCAATGCGATGATCAACGCGAAGATGTTTTGGAATTTCGGCGAGAGGGTTATCGCATGCTGGAACCTAACGAAGTACATAGACGGATCTATCATCGCAATAAAGCGGTATAAAAATATTTACATGTATACGAAAAAATGACTTTCGTTAGTAGTTAGGGGTCAGTTTGACACCTTTAAATTAATTTAGTAAAAAAATGGGGTATCAATTATGTATATTAATTTGAGTTTTAGCCAATTTTTTCTTCAATGAAATTTAGAAAAAAAATCAACAAAGTCAAAGCAGCACAAGTAGAGAGGGATGGGACTACCCGCATATTTGCGTATCGGTTCAGATAATCGTGTACACGGATGAAATCTGGATATCCGGTTAAAACCCGTTAATTTTGCTATCTGGATAGCCGGTTAATATCTGTTTATTTTATTATCCGGATATAATATGCGTATCAAATATTAAAATACAGTGGTCGTGGAGTATGACGAATGATATAATGTCTGGGTTCATACGCTATATCGAAAAGTACGTTAAATCGAACTAAAATTTTGTTATGAAAATCAATAAAATCAGTCTATATATTACATATGAGCCCCATATTCCAATTTCACTTAATTTGTTTTTTTTTTTTATTGTTTCACCTAATAAATAACAAACGGTTACGCGACGGAGGTATTTTTCCAGTTCAATAAACGCGACCACTTGTAAGAAGTTATTCTTTTGAACTGGTAATTTCACGTACGCAAAAATCATGTCATTCAAGCATATAAAGTAAACAAGCGTTCGTTATATAGAATACTCCTTTTTTCAACCATTCGTTATTTAGGGCCGGTTGCTCAAAGCCTGGTTGACACTAATCATCGGTTAACATCGTTATCGACGTTTTCGACTCCATGCATGCATATATACGATGTTTAACCGGGGATTAGTGTCAACCAGGCTTTGAGCAACCGGCCCTTAGAGTAATCAATACATTTAAAAGGCATTCGTTATTTGGAGCATTCGTTATATAGGCATTCGTTATACTGGACAACCACTGTATATATTTTTTACGATATTTAGAAAAGCACCAAAGTCAAAACAGTACAGGTAGTTTTGTATATTCGGATATCCGTTCGGATACTCGTGTACACCGATAGAATTCGAAATCCCATTTATTTCGTTATACCGATATTCGGATTTTTCGATCAGATATTCAAATATCCTGATTATTCAGATATTCAAAAATTTCCTATAGAATTTCTATGCATTAAAATCATACTCAAGTTTTTAAGAAAATTTCGCATACATACGAGGGTCAATAAATAAATCCTAAGAAGAACTTAGATAAAAACAAATGTTTCGATAAATATCAGGGACGTGAACCGGATAAAAAATATGGTCAGGTCGGTTCAGCGGTTCGAAACGTGTTTGCATCTTTGGATTGGTTTGTTGAAACGGACCGGGACTGCGGTCCAGTTCAACGTTTCGGAAGTAGAAAAAAAAATGAAGAAAAAAGTAAGAAAGATTTTCATGAAAACTTGGTCGAAACGAACATTGCTAATCGCCTTTGTGATGTCTTTTTGGCAAAAGCTTAGAAATTCAAATGCATACTACGTAAAAACTGTCCCTAATGTTCTAGGTTACCCTAATCTTCATCAAAAACTGAGGAAAGGCTTCTCAAGCTGAAAGCAACCATTACTTCAGGTGCATATTGTATAAGTACCAGGGTACTTTGGTAAGTCAGTGACTTTGAGTTTTCTGCGGAGTAGCGTTTTATGCACCACTACCCCCGATTGATGTACCATTTTTAGCAAGCTGTGTGATTTCGTTTGTGTTTGACACTTACAGCGGCAAAACTTCGTAACTGGGCAACGAAATGCTATGCCATCTACCATTTTTGCCTGATTTAGTCAGTCCCGACTATATGCTCTGAAGAGATCGCTCGGCATGAAGAGATTTTGAAATGAAACGGTCATCACTAAAGGAATAAAGAAATGGGGAAAAAACGGTTAACTAAATGTTTTAAGCTAAAAGGAGACTGTGTAGAAAAATAAAAAGGGTTTTTTGACTAAAATATACGATTTATTCAAACTTAAACTCCTCTATGGTAAACAGTAAGAAATTTCACCAAAATCTGTTTGAAAAATCCACTTTCGGTCTAAAACCCCGGTCAGAGCCCATCTCTACGGCAATGGTGTGAAAATAGGTTGACTACCTTTGCAATATAATCCTAACCACGTTTTTTGTAAAAAAAAAAAACAAATTGAAATTTTCTGGACAGACTTTTATATCCGTTGGCCGATGTGTTATATTTGGATGTGGTAAAATCATGAATTTTAAAATATAAAGATTATTTTCAGTGTATTGAAGCATATCATAATATTGGGTCTTAATTTATGTACTATATTTTTCTTTATAAATTACTCCAACTGAAGGCCTGGAATCAACCACTCGAATCGGACGTATATCAGTTTATGACTACTGTCTCTATGCCTGTTTATGATCGACGTATGAATGCGGTAAGGTATTCAACATACAGTAGAAATGCATAAATAACACCGTGCGACAAAAACAAAAATTTCGAAGTGATTGTGGGCCAAATATGGTAAAACTGAGTTATTACTTTTTCTCTCTGCCATCAGGATTTTTTTTAAGGACATATTTCTAATATATGATTAGTTCCAAAAAATGTTAAAAAAAATTTTGAGGAATGTAGAATAACAATATGGGTACCAATGAAAGACAAAATTCTGCATAATTAAAAAATAATAGTTTTTGTTCACAAGGGCGAATAGGTATTGAAAATGCCCTTTTAGTAATTTAATTTTTTAAGGTGATAAAATAAGTACTAAAATCGAGAATGTGGTAGATTGTATATTAATCCTTAACATATAATTTTTTCAAAAGTAAATTTTGCTAAATTCCATGGATATTCAAGGATAAAATTTTAAAAGGACATTTTCAATACCTAATCGCCCTAGTGAAACAAAAAGTTTAATCGGCTTTAATTCTGCAGAATTTTCTCTTTAATTTTATACCCACGCCGCACTGAATTTTTTAAATAATTTTTTGAAGTTATCATATTTATCAAATTTCAAATTTTTTCAAATAATTCGAATTTCAAATAGTTTTTTGACGTTATCTATTAAATTTATCAAATTTCAAGGTTCTTAAAAAAATTCTGACGTCAGAGCAGTTTTACTATATTTGGCTCATGGTTTTGTGTGTAAAATTTACTGTCGCACGGTGTAATCAAAATCACCAAGAAATTTCTTCTTAATTTGTATAGTGAAGTCAATCATGATTTCTTAATAAATACTTGCACATAAAAAAATATGACATACTATCAAAATATTTCTATGTACTATCAAATGTACATAAATATCTTTTATTTATTGTATATACTAATAAACAAACCAATCAAATATTACACAAACAGAATATCACCGAAGAGGTTTTAATAAATGAGGCGCTTTGGGAATTACAAACTCGTGAGGTATCTAGAGACATTTTGAGTAAAAAACAAAACAGTGAAAACGCGTAGTAAAATAAAAACGTTGCTAAGTTCCTTAGCGTAAATTTAATGTTGTTGCGTCATACATACATTTGAGTAAACAAACTAAAAATTGCTTAACAATTTATATACTCATAGCTAGTAAAGAATTTTGGTAAAAATAATGTTTAGAACAACATAAATAAGAGGTATTCCCTTACACTGCAAAAAAGCCATGAAAACTTGACCGTCGAGATTTCGTTGAGAAATATTTTAGAGCTGCGGGTTTTCTAGTTTTTCGAGTTTGAGGGAATCATCTATTAGATAAATTTAAAAGTAGTACAAATCAGTTGGATACAGAAGTGCATACTATATAAAATCGTGCATAGCATATCTACTACATACTATGTGTGGAAGTTTACTAGAAGCAGCGTAAATACATACAAACATAAATAGTATATTTTATTTGCAAAATGCAAGTTCATGGATACAATAGAGATCAGAAATATTTATAGTAATACAGTTTTAAATATTCAAGTTTTTCTTCTACATAATACTCGTAATCATAGAATAGATTGTAAATCCTGTATATTTAAGTATTTATTGTGCTAAAAATTTTTACTAAACTATATGCATGATATAATCTTTTTTCATGTAGAGCCGCAGTTGAATTCTAAAACTTCATATTAGCAGTTTTATTTTTTGGTTTTAATTGGAGAAAATTACGAAGTTACATATTTGATTAGTCATATCGTCATCACTTCGATATTTCAAAATTTAAGGACGCTAATTTACTCATAAAGCCTAATACTCACAACAATCTCTTAAAAAGAAATAAGATTATTATGGTAAATGGGCTTGGCACCGCTAATTTATGACTACACAAGTTTTCTCATTAAGTCTAACTGAACATACTATCGAAGATGTTAGAAATAGGGGTAAAACCAGCCCTACTTGTCACGTAACGGTATTTTTCGGAGAGGTGAAAAACTTTATCTATTTACAATGTGTGCCAGGTATTTAGTGTTCGGCTTCGCCTGAACTTAGACTTCTTTACTTGTTTTGAATTATTTTTTACTATTTAAGTATTGTAGGTTCTAAATATGAAATGAATCGGACAATAAATATAGATTTTCCAAATACCTCAACTACTGCGCCACCTATCGGGCAAATTTTCTTTAGGAGTTTTTCTATTTCATTTAGGTAATTCTCATTTCAAATATGAACAATATTGAACTATAAATACGGGTTTTTTTCAAATAACTCTACACCGGCGCCACCTAGCGGATTAATTTATCTCTTATATTGCATTGTCGTCGGATTCAGAGCCAAGTTTGCAGTTTCAAGCCTCTAGCTAATCGGGGAAGTTGTTAAAAATTTATTGCAGAATTTTATTAAAAAACTCAGGTGAAACTTAATAAAAGCTTGTAAAGATAAATATTAACGTTTATTTTTTAACGCAAAAAAAAGTTTAATTTTTACTCTTTACTTATGATTGAAAACATATCAATGAAAAAATAACAATTACTTATCGACTTTTTTAAAAAAAAAAAAAGGATAACAGTTTGCTTTTAACGACGTATTTAAATATTAGAATTATCATGTCTATGTTATAGTTAGTAGAAGGCTACTAGCCTACTAGTACCTTATATTTTTATGAATATGTATGTATGTAAATACCTATAAAAAGTATCAAAAATATACATACTATCTTGTGCCAGTTAATTATGTGATATGGGCATTTCCATTATATGTTGATTTTTTTTTGTTTCGATAGCATTTTAGAAGCAATATGTTTTGTACAATATTTAGGTTCTGTAGATTTTTTGTTTTCAATATATTGACAAAAAATGTGAAATATGCAAAAATCTGCGAAACGCAACATAAAAATTTAAATTGATTTATTTTAAACTAAAATGGATGAATTGGCCTTTCTAATGGTAGTTTTTGTTTAGCTTAGGGATGATTTTAGCACGCGACATTAGTAAAAACAATTAGTTGAAGCAATTTCAGCTCATCATTACATTAACTACTAAAAACATCGTATATATACTTTATATTTTGACTTCTGTGCCAATTCAAGGTACATTTTTTGGAAATCTATGAGTTGTTAAGTTTAACTAGATACGCCAAATTTGAACCAAATCGGACTATAAATACGGTCTTTCAAAATACCTCGACCCTGGCGACGCCTTGTGAGATCATTTTTTGTAAAAATGTTTCTGCCTACATAAGCAGTATAGCCCTATAGGGATAACACGAACTAGTGAACCAGATTTCTAGTTCAGTACTAGTTCTTTATTGCCAAAAACGAACAAGTCCGATAGTAACTAGTTCCGCACCAGTCCAAAAGCAGTGAAATGTGGTACTTTCACTAAACTATTCTATTTTAAATTTTAAAAGCAGGGAAGGTAATCATTATGAGTNAAAATGCAAGCCACCAGAGCTACCTTTATTTTAAGAAAAGACAAATTAAGTTTTTTTATGCAATCCACCACAGCTACCTTAATACAGTCAGTCAATAAAGTTTAGGTACAACGAATTTTTTACAATACGGGCAACTATTTTTTAAATATTTTCGTTTTCGGTAATTTTTTATAAAAATATGGTCAATTCTACAACAAAATCCCCAAAAATCAGAGTTCCAAACCTTGTGCAAAATTTAAGAAAATTCTGCAAAATTTCATTAAAATAATTCACTTTCTATTTACGCTCTCTAGAAAAAGTTTTTTAGCCCATTCAATTTTAGTATAATGAAGTGCAAGTGTGAGGAAGCTAGGACTTACCAAACAACAAAAAAAAAATTGCTAAATATGAATGGTAAGTCCTAGCTACCTCAAACTTGCACTTTGTTATACTAAAATTGAATGGGCTAATAACTGAGTACTTAACTTTTTTCTAAAGAGTGTAAATTGCAATACTTGGATGGAAATTCGCAGTTTTCTTTAATTTTGCATAAGGTTTGGAACTCTGATTTTTGGGGTTTTTGGTGTAGAATTAACCATATTTTTATAAAAAATTAGGGAAAAATAAAATATTTAAAAAATAGTTGCCGGTATTGTAAAAACTTCACTGTACCTAAACTTTATTGACTGACTGTATATCTTATTTAAGTTAAGTACGACAAAAACTTTCGAAGTACTTCATATACATATAAGCTTAAAAAGAACTGAATTTACTTAAAAATCAATATGCTTAAATTTAGACAAGTAAGACAAAGTGAACTAATATTTTTACTTTTAAGCAGAACGCACTTTTTTTTTACTTACTACTTCAGCTTAATACTACTACTACTACTAATGTGGTTTATAAATTTTTGATAAATGCGTTTAAACATTTGTGATTGTATTGTCCTTCCTTCAACCGATCGTATTTAATTTAGAAGGGAAATGTTTCGACAAGCCTGATTAGAAATGTAGATCTAAGGTGACGAATTTATAACAGGTTGGGAAGTATAAAAAATGGATGCAGATCGAACTAGATCTCATCTGTCGAATTGGGAACTGGTTTGGAACTAAAGAAACGGGGATGCAGAACGAACTAGATCTCATCTGTCGAATTTAGAACTGGTTCGGAACTAGAGCCAAAGGGATGCAACGGGGGACAATTGACACTTCCTAGGACATCGCAATGTTAAATTCGCCAGTCGCTAGCATGCAAAAGAGAATTAACGCGTACTAGTCATGGTTCCAAACGCACTAGAACCGAACGAGTTCCGCACTAGTTCGTTTCCCTACAGGGAGTATACAGACAAATTAACCCATAAATACGTTAGATATATGACTATTATTTTTTTTCGCGGTAGATCTTCCGATGGAAACGCCCATATGTAATAGATTCGCAATAAACTGTATGTATGTATGTAGTTTTATCAAGCAATATATTTGCCTTTTATAGTAAGTAAAGTATGTAGTAGCCACTGCCAAGAAACCTAATCCCGCAATTTATATTACCTTTTACCTAAAAATTTATTGGACCCGTTTCTTCTTACGGTCGGATTAGTTAGTAAAACTCATGTATAATTTAAAATTTTTATAGCGAATTCATAAAATATTATTAGATCAGTAAATAGACACTGATTCAATAGTGACATTTAAATTGTGTTATTATGTATTTAGATACGTATATGTACATAGTACATATGTAACTAACATATGTATTTTGTATATGTATTAAAAAGAAAAATAGTAAATGGGGTCTAGTCAGAGTATTCTTATGGTCAAACAACTGATTTAAAGTTTATGTAATGCTTACAGTAGATACAAAAATATATTCCCTCTACTACTCGTACCTGTATTAATAGTTTGAGTAGAAAACTATATACATTTTTGCAATGTACATATTTGTGTAATAATTTAACATAAAACATATCTTTAGACCAAAATTGCGAATTTATTGGGTGTTGCTGGCACGGATGTACCTATTAGAGATATTAAAAGAATGCTGTCGCCATTTTTGGTAAGTATTTTATATCTATTTATATTTACACTCAGACCGACCTTTTATAGTATACAAATCTAAACCTTTTCTTTTGGTTTATAAATCTTGTTGTTGGAATTTTTTTTGCTAATCGCTTATTTTAAATAAATAACACTTTAGGATGTGGTGAATGCAAAAGTCTGAATTTCTTGCCATAATTATAGAATCAGTTGATTTTAAGTTTCTTTTCGTTGTGACCACTTGTGCGCAACATAAATGTTGCTAAGAGCGGTTCTGCAACATTTGAAAAAAAATGCACATAATAAATTTTATTTATTTTTATTAATAAATATTTATTAAAGAAAGTGAAATGAAAACATTAACAACAAATTTCACAAATGCAATTTAAGTCAAAAATTATTTTAATTTTTTGAATTTTATATGGAAATTGACAGAAAATAAGAAATCACTTTCCATTCAAATTGCTGGCGGAACCGGCTATAAGTCTGAAAAATTGTTCTTAGTTTTCGTTAAAAAAAAACTTTGTAAACAACATTTCATAATGGTTAAACCAGAAATCATAGAAGTTTGAAATTTATGCCAGTTCATATATAAGGCTCAACCAACAATAATGAGACATGTTCTTGTCTTCGTGCTAATCGAAAATTTTAAATGGGAAAATTTAATAACACGCCTCAATATATCATGAAAAAAGTTTTAGCTCAATTTAATTTGGGCATGAGAGGGTTAAAAATCATCTACATATGGAGCATTTTAGTCCAATTCATAAACCATTTGGATTTTGGATCAAATATAGACTTCCTGACTTTTTTCAATTTTTCAGACGTTTTCGATATTTCGGAAACTAATCTTTTTTAAACGCCCATAACTTTGCGAAAAGAGCCGATTGTGAACATTTTTTTTCTTGAAATTTTTAGTTTTCAAAACACTTTTGAAATTTAAAATCGAAAAAATTTTCAAAGTCGTATTTCTAAAAAAATTTCAAATTTTTAATATAAAATATAGATTTTCAAAAACCACTTTTTCATCGCTTTTGTTGAAATTTGTTCTAAAAAACTGTCACTCATTCCGCCACTTTAACGCCTAGTCCGATAATGGGATATCAATGGGATCTATTTTTTTCGATTTTTTTTAATTAACGGTAAACTAACAAATTTTGTCCAACGCAACGCCAAGAACTCTGACTGCGTCAAATCAACTGCATTAAGCAAAAAGATAAAAATGCCTTATTGTAGAGGAATAAATTCTATAAATAATAATTATTACTAATCACATTTTATAAAATTAATAATGTTTGCATAATTTTCAGCTTGGTGTCAACGGCTATGCATTTATTGTAACGAATAACGGTTACATATTGTTCCATCCAGATTTTCGTCCAATTGTAAGTGTTTCACAATTACACCTACTAGTTCATACTGTTACCAAGCGAATAATTTTACATAAATGTCCATACAGTTCCAAGGCAATATCTTAAAGCCCGCTTACAACAGCGTGGATATGATTGAAGTCGAATTATTAGACGATGATCGAGCACCAAGAGATTTCAATCCAGTACTACTAACGGTACATAATATACATATATTAATATAATTCACAAGAAACATAGAATAAATGAGTATTTAATTTTGAATTATTGTCAGATACGAGACTCGATAATAAATCAATCAACAGGTAGTAAATGGATGCTAGTAAAAAATCATTTCGACGAAATGGTAAGAAAAACTATTTTTATTTTTTTTTTGTGAAATCCGCTAATTGAAATATTTTTCATCTTAGAAACGTGTCGCTCGTATTAAACGGCAATATTATTGGAGAGCGATACCAAATACACCATTTACGCTTGTTATCACATATCCTGAGCAGTATGGTGTACATCGTCTGTCCATACGCGCCGAAAATGAGATACACCGCATGAATATTAAAGGTGATAACTTGTTAAACTACTTTGGTGGCAAACGTTGGAGGATTCATCCAACTTGGTAAGTTTGGTTATAAATCCATACATACTCGACAAAAACTTCAGTATTTAAATGAGTATATTTTAAAATTTTCTCTTTATTCTGCAATAGGTTGTATTGCAAGCACAACAATAAAACATTTGCAGCACCGGAAGAGGAGTTAGTCTGGTTTTTGAATAAAATGTCACAACCTGGTTGGAGGTGGCCACTAAGTAGAAGCGCAGTGCCGCCCGAACATGCAGCGCTGTTGTTTTGTAAGTATTAATTCTGTCGGCTAATATCAGAAAAAATAACAATACATGCATACGAACTTTATTTAAAACAAATTTGCAAATAGACAGGTGGAAAGAAGCGAACACGATAAATATATGTATTTACATACATAGAGAAAGTATTCACCCTTTTGTAGGGTGGTTAGGGATCTTCTTACATTTCGAAAATTATAAGAAAACATTTATGAGAATTAGAATTAAAATAAATTTAAGATAGGCCACTACTATTAACTGTAAGCCGACTTAACATTATGCTGAACATTAAAAGTAATTGTTTGAATTTCAAGCATTAGAGAGTACATATTTATGCCGAATTTCCACTAGGCATTGAAATGACAAAAAACGTATGCCATTTAAAAAAATGCCATGTGGAAATGAATTTAATGATCATTTTTTTAATGCAATGACACAATTTTCTTTTAATGCCTGACTTTGTCATTTGTCATTTTTGCCATTTAATGCCTAGTGGAAATCCAGCATTACTTTCATGGAATAATTTGTATAAGGTTTTGTAGTAAGGTATAACCAGGTTTTATATTACTGGTGAGCCAGCCTCTCAAAATAACAAATAAAGACACCCTGGAGATAGGTGCCAGAAATCATACAAAATAGTTACATTTATTATTATTCAAAGGCCATTTTATTAATTTTTGTTCTCGAAGAAATCCCATTCCAAAAGTGCCGATTTTAGTAATCTGCTAGTGGAGCGGCTTTTACCACTTCTGTTTAGGTTTTAAAAAATTCTAAGTGAAAAGGATTTATTCAGCCAAGACTTTTTACATAATTGATAATAATGCTCAAATTACCAACGGAAATCACCTCTCTAACCTTCCTTCTTCGTCACTTGTGTGTTGGGCGACGTGATACATAAAATAAAACTAGCCAAGTTTGGCTACATTTATTTATTGTTCGACCCACGTTACTAAGGTTTGCTCAGAGCATTCAATATTCGAGTGCTACGTTGAAAATTTGCATTTTTATAAAACCGCTTTAGTCTACAATCCTTTTCCAAAGTTTCATATTAAATTTCATTTAAAATCACTATAACTCATTCAGAGATATCATTGAAAGTTCCAAGCGAAAATATCATTTAGATTAGAATAGCTTTCACGTCGTTGGTATGAAACTTAGATGATTAGTAGTTTGTCATTAACAAGTTAAAGCTTAGACAGACGGCAACGTTGATCCGAATTAACGGCGAAGTTGATGTGATCAAAATTGTGCCTTGACAGAAGGCAGTAATGCAGATTAACGAGTCGCGAGGTCGTGGGATCGAGTTCTACTGCCAGTAGAGTTTCATTTATTTTGTTTTTTATTCATTTAATTATAACTTTTTATTTTATTTTATTATTTAATTTTTTAGTTTTGTTTTAGTTAGTTGTTGTTGACTTTTCTGATAAAATTAGTTCTTAAAAATTTAAATAAACTAATAATAAAATAAGTAATGCGAAATAAAATAAAATTAAGTAAAATAAAATATATAAATCAAATAAAGAAAGAATAAAAAATATAAAAATAAAAACAAACAAAAAATAAAAAATTAAAATTAAAAAATTTAGCGATCGCTGGAACTGAGGATCGACCTGTATGCTTCGGAATTGTAGTACTCAGCTCTCACCACTCGACTACCGCTGCACAGTGCTTCCCTTCCATACAAAATGTGAGCAAAAATATAATTATGGACGGATTTAAATGAAAATTCGCTTCCTAGTAAAATTGAGCACGCTTAATTAAAAAATGAAATGCAAATGTTTTTGGATAACTTTCATACCTTCACTGTAAATGCAGTTTGAAGTTGAAAATTTGGGTTCTTGTGGCTTTTACATAGGTACATATGTCATATGTACATATAGTTCGTTCTATTTTCAAAAGTGCGGTGTCAAATGGCAGGGCTTGGCCTGTAGATGTGCAATAAAGTTTTTTTATTTTTGAATAGGGTTGCCACCTATTACAAATTTTATTAAAATTATTTAATGAGTCAAATGAATTAGATATTACAGTATGGGTATCAATTTAACTTGGTTTGAAAATACTTTACTTCTAAACGACACGTAGAAGGGTTACCACATGTTTAAAAAATCAAATTCACTTTAATTAAGGGAATAAGGTAACTGAAATATGTATATCAATATGAGTATCAGAAAAATTAAAAAATTTGACATATTTAGAAAGAAATAAGTGAAGAGTAAAAACATTCCCGAGTTAATTTAAGAGTCCAATAATTTAAAAGGAATCTAATCAGAACAAATCGCTAATTTACAATGTATGTATTTGTAATAAAATGACAAATACGATGGCGTAATCCTACGGCTTAACGTAATTATTATTTTAGTTTAACTATATTCGACTTTACAAACAGGTGGCAACCCTATTCGTAACATTTTTAAGCTAAATCCTTCTTAAACCTCTTTCGTATGACTCCCTTATGGTGATGCTATTATTTTAATTACCTAATTCCTTTACTTCAAGTGGAATTTGATTTTTTAAACAGGTGGCAACTCTCTACATGTAGTTAATACACATTTCGATTGATACCCATCTCTTAATAATTCATTTAAGTTATACAAAAATTTTAATCTAATTTTTTAACAATCTAATCTTTTAACATGTGCCAACTTTTTAAAGAAAAATAAACCTTCTATTTATTTGTCAATGTTATTGTGGCTTATTAACATTTTATTTTTAATATTTTTATTGAGCGGCACTATGCGCTGATGCCAAACCTTCCTGCTTTGTTTTCTTACTTGAGCAATAGACAAAAGTTGGCCATTTTCTGCCCAGATCAACTGCAGTTAATTCCCGAGATAATTCCAAATTAACGAGATGATCCGGATCAACACTGCCGTCTGTCTATGTTTTTACATTATTATTCACGAGCCTGTGTGAAACTTTTGTATGCCATAAATTTTCGGTTAAAATCAATAGAACTTTCCTTTTCACTAAATATGTCCATGATGAAAAATAAGTTCGCTTAGGTATCATTTTCACCATGTTTAGAGGACGAAAGTTACGAGGGTTGGGATGTAATGTTTGGGGAATTTCATAATCGCCATTGGAGTTATCTGTTGTCTAAAAGAAATGTCTCTGTAAGTACTTAGAGGGAATATATCACCTTATCAGGATAACTAAAATTTATTATTTAGTCACAAAAACCACTTGGAAAAAGTGATGCCAGTTACTTTAACACTTACAGGAGGTGCCAACCTAATTAAAGAACGTTTTACTATGAGTAAAAATTTGTGAAGCGGTCAAATACTTTTTCGAAGGTAGAATTTTTTTGGGGAATGAATTGCCTATGGTTAAAAATGATTATGAATTATTTTGGAAGTTAAGAAGTTAGATTTAATTTCTTTTCTCAGTTTCAGTTTTCAGTTAAGAAGGAGTATGGTTTTTTTTCATTTTTATTTTGTTATACAAAATTTTTTGTAAAGGTTATTAAAAGATTTCAAAATTATATTAAGTTCTCAATCGCTTTAAGATCGCGTTTGGGCTAATATTGTGGTACATTCCATTAAAAATTATTTGTATATGTAAATTGCCGGAACTCCTACCTTTTCTATTGACACGCAACGTATAACAGCACAATTAATTAGCTATTGTAGAATCGTTCTTAAAATCGCAAAATACACCTTATAAATCCATGAAAGTCAATTGCAGTATTTTCGGTTTGAAACCAGTACTACTTGATTTAAAAAAGCGATGTCTACGGTTTTTATGCCGATTCAGGAATATCTTATTAGTTGTCTATAGTGATAAGACGTTCTATAATCCTTCTAATTGTATAATGTTTGCTTCATAGTGATGTTTTCAAACGCGTCTACAGCAAAAAAAGGATGTTACGCATGTTTCTTGGTTGCATTAAGGTCGCTAATTCCGGATAGATGTGCATACTATTTAGAGATGGGCGCGGAATATCGGGACACGCGGGTGGGACACTCCCGATAAAATCGCAAACCTCGTGAATTCAGAAAATTGTCCTTAAAAACGATTTGTGGAATAGGCACCTTTTTATATTTTATTGGGACGAAAACGAACAGTAAAGCAAAGCAATATAATCGGAAAATGCCAGATCTCTCATAATTTTGTTTTTTATTATTTAAATTTAATTTTAAAGACATGTGAATTTTTCTTAGTGATAGATTTCGGTACCCGAATTTCAGGATGGGCGGGATCGGAATTAATTATTTGGTGCCCTGCCCATCTCTAACACATACCCTTTTTTAGGTAAAGTTTTTTTTGCGAATTTTCCAGAATTTTCGGTTGCTTTAATGAAGAAGGTTTTATTTTCTACCACCGCGGGATATTTCACCGTTGATGATGCGTTGTGAGGTGGAGAAGCTGTCTGCTGAACGTGCTTTTTATACGCGAGCGCACTTGTGCACAAGGGTATATTAACTTTGTTCGCGGGATGAGCATCGCCCACTTTGTAACTACAAAGGTGTACCTCGGTAACCACTTATTCGATTTGAACCTATTTAGGTTCAATTATATCCTTAAGTCAAACTCTGAATATTATCGAAAACGTTTGAAATCAATTAAACAATCGTACTTATCATGCAAAAGATATTTCAGAGAAAGTTGAAACGACGATATTTGATACCTGCGCCGGGTTTATAAAGTTCGGTTTCGCTCGAACTTATACAACAAGTAAAGACTTGTTTATTATAAAGAGTTAACAAATGTATGCCATCTCATAATTTTCATATGAAAGCGAGTTCAAAGCTTCTATATTCCTTTCGTAAATAAATTTGTTCCATGGTGGTGGAAGATATCGTCGCTACCGTGTCAAACTATCGAATGTAAAAATGGATATTTTTATGGAGAACAAAAAAACTGCTATAAAAACTGTTGTTCTCATTAGCAAAAGTGTGGAAAATGAAAAAAAGTATTCGATAGTTTAATATGGTAGCAACGATATAGCTACCCGAAATGTAGCAAAGCTTGCTAAAATTCGCAAACAAGAACCATTCCGAGAATACCGAGAGTATATCCGGAATCAACGTATTAAACATGCCTTAGAAATATAAATGTCGTCGACCTTGCTTTTCTCAAAATCGGTTTTTTTGTAGACCTATGTTATTTCCGGTCTATGATTAAAACTATTTATGGGGGTTTCCACGTTGGGTTTAATATCATATCTAAGTTTTTGTTTCATGAGAAATTCGATGTTATTTTATATCTTCCATATGTACCATTGTGTACGTGTTTCATACTTATTCACACATATGAACATTTATAGCATTTAATTCAAAAATGATAGTTTCAGAAAAGACTAAACACTTTTAAACAAAATCATACATACATTTGTATGTATGTATGTCTGTATGTCATGTTAACTTTTTCGTTTAAAAATATTATCGTAATGATCATAATTTATATATGTAAATGCAAATCCACAGCTAACACATCTACCGGGCGCATACCATCCATAAACGAAAAAGAAAGTTACTATTGTGAGTAAAATCGAGTTTCGATTCTGTTTATTTTTGCAATTTTTATTAAAAAAAAAATACAAAGTAATAAAATAATATACATAAGTAAATAAATCGTTTTTGTTATCGTAAAACTCACTAAAAAGCACTTACGATTGTAACACTCATTCATATTAATTTGCTAAGTTTTATCAACACATCGAAGAGCATTCTCACCAAAGCACAATGCTAGTATTTTATTTATACTAACAATACTCAGTTAAGCAGTTGATTGCATCTATATTACTAACATTTCTTTCAACTAAGCATACATACTTAATTAAAAAAAAATATATATTTATATTTCCTAATTTATGTAGAATATTTTTATTTAGAAGAAGTCGTAGATTTTGATTTGCATACTTTTTTCTAGAAAAAAAGGAAATCATTACCAAGTTTTAAGTTGTTGATTACATATTGTAGTTAGGAATATTTAGTGCCTAGCAATCAAAATTTTAGGAATGCAATGAGTNGTTAGTGTATTTTGAATAAATTGTAATAGAAATAAATGAAATTGTAATAGAAATGAAAGAAATTGTAAAAGATAAGAGCACATGCCAAAAAACAGGTGATCTCAGCTGTAGGCATATTTTGGCAATCAGCTGATAGTGTTTTTACTTATGAAACTGTACGATGACTCAGGGTGAGGAAGAAGGCAGGCATGAAGTTTGCTACATAGCAGCAAGCAACAAACACTTGCAGTAAAGGAAGGCTCATGTGGCCAGAACTCCTCTTACAGAGAATACTTCAGAGAAAAAAGCTGTATACTCTCTTTTTCGATAAATTGACTAACGGTTGATTTGGTAACCTTCAAACAGATAGTTTCGAAATTTTCTGTAAACGAAAAATGTGTAACTTGATTTTGTGCCACTTTCAAATGCGTGTATCTCATAATCTAAATATTTCCTGCTTTTCCAAAGTGAAAAGTGGATAGAAAGAGTGACGGTTAGCAGAATATTTACCAATTAAAACTTGTATTATAGTTTAAAGGTTGTGCCAAAGAAACGTCCGCATTTAAGTGACTTTAAAGTGAAATTGTACAATTACAAAAAAAGTTTATTTAGTGTTTTAAAAAAATGTTTAAAAACATTAAAAAAAAAACTCATCATAAATCGGTAGAATAGTCCCTGATCTCTTATTTCCCCATAATCTTATACTGCGATATTAAAGAAATTATAATTTTTCTTAGGTAACTACTACGTCGGAAGGCTGGCTTTAGTATAATGCACCATTTCCTTTATTCTTTAAACCACAAGGAATTTCCGTGTGAGACTTAATAAGAATATTGACGTGCTAGTATCGAAACTATTTCTTTCACGTTTACTTGCGAGGATTTCTTTTATAGCTTGGCGCTAGTGAGTCATTCGCAATCGTATGCTGCGAATGGTTCATTATTCTAAAGCCGGCATTCCGGCATAAGCCATTATTCCATACGAACACAGATATACATACATACATATGTATGTATATTAATTTGTTCATGCAGATATATAACAATTTTAGAATGAATTCCGAGTGTGCCAATAAAAATTGTATAATAGGAATTTTCGTTTCGCAAATCATCGCCATGTTATAAACAAAGTAATTTTTTTTCATTTGCATGCTAGTTTTACTACTCTAAATTGGTTCGTTTTGGCAAGAAGAACATGAGAAGAATATGTTATATTGGAGGTCAACTTTCATTGCCTCTAATATGAACATTCTATTTGAAAACTTCCCAAAGTTATTAGAAAAAACAATTATGATTTTTTCGAGTGGCAGTGAAAAAATTTATACTATCGGTACTTTTTCGCCTTAATAAACGTTTTAAGATTAAAATTGTTAAAATACTTGATTTATTTTTTATTGTACTTGTTTCTGGAACTCCACTGATTTAAATAAGTGCAAGAAGAAAGCTTTAGCGTTTTTTTTTTCTGGCCAGAGAAGGAAGCGCCAGCTAAAAAAAATACCTCGTGAGATTTGCTCATATATGTATATGCATATGTAGTTCAGCGAATAAAAATATAACTACTCGGTACCCGCTGGTGGTGGTAGAAAAAGAGAGAAACCTCCACTGAGTAAGAAATATCAGGTAAAGAGGTACTTAGCTTGAACTCGCCCAAAATTGCTTAAATTGTTATAGCGCCAATGAAGAAGCAGCCTTTTTTACACCACTTTCACGTTCAATTAATTTTGAAAAGTTTTAATTCGCGTTCGAATTTTTAACAAAATATTTTACAAGTTTAGTATTTGAAAAACTCGTATTTCAACATTATTTCAGTTCAGAAATTTAACATTTTAAGTTTTATAATTCAAATTTTAAATAAATGTCCAGTGTTAACATTGACTTTTTTACATTATTTTAGCTTTATTTCACACCGCATTAATTTCCACATTTTGCCTATCACTGAAATTTAAACATTTTTGAAAACCTCACATACTTATATATTGTTAGCTGAGGACTTGCTGGCGTATTCTGCATGTTTCACAAATGCAAATTCATTAAAATCAATTTTCATAATTTAATATTTATTTTGTAATTAATTACATACATATACATATAAGTACATATATCCATTCCTAAAATCATCTTTTTTTACATCTGCACCAACGTCGATTGAATGTTTGCAAAGCAAGCCCCAAAAATACTCGTATATTTGAAGAAGTACTCAGTATCCTGGCAGTTAACCATATCATATACCCAAAAAATTTGTTAAACCCGTAAAAAATGCATAACTTTTGCATATCCAAACCTTCTACTAGTAGCTTTTATTAATTAATAAAATAAAAAAAAATAAATCTCACACCCAGCAAAATGAGTACTTCTCTATTGGATATTGTGATTATTGTTAAAAACATAAATAAAAAAAACAAAACTTAGTCAACAGCTAAATTCGAGTTGTGTTTTTTGTTGCAGGTGATCGTCAACTTATGCAGTCACTTGTCTTCGATGCGAGAGTTACCGAATGGTTTTCGAAGAATACAAGCTTTAATTCAAAGGACGATAAGGGGTAAGCATCATTTCACTGAATAGATCCAAAGACTGGTTTTACTGGCAGTGAGGTTTTAACAAGTCATACATACTATGTACATATTGAATTCCAATAAATGTACATACCAGCACAGTACTGTTCGAATAATAGTTATCACTGCATTCAAATTTCAAACAATTAAAAATTACAAATAAAAGAAATACATTTTATTGCCTAAAAGTCTTTTCAGATCACCTATTAGTTGTAATTTCTAATAAAAAATTCCATTTTGAGCTAACTACCCAAATTTTCGGACGTGGCGTAACATAAACAGGCTGATTCTGAATACTCCCGGGGAGTTTGTGGTCCGGAAATTTGTTTCTCCAGAGAAAGAAATCCTCCAATAATTAACTCCTAGGGAGTGGCATTTTCCGCGAAAATTTGACAGGAGGAAAGTCGAACTTCGAAAGAGCTATTTTACACTTTTTTGACAGCTCAACTGCACCATTTAAAATAAAAAATCCTCTGGAAATTTTTATTCATGATAGGAGGAAAGGGAAAAGCGAGAAACTCCCGGGGAGTCATTCAATTGAAATTTTTGATCAAAATGTGTTATCCTTTTCAAATACAGCCATACATTCTATCGAATAAATAAAAAAAAAAGAATTCGGGTCACAGAATTTATTACCTTTAGGCGCTATTTTAGTGTTATAAGCTCCTTTATGTAGTTGCCATTTTCAACTCTATAGATCAGGGTCACTGTTCCACATAAAAAGCGGATCACAATATCGAAAAATATCGGTAAAATTGTTCAATATGACCGTCGACATTTCTACCTATACATACTTGCTTAAATAAAAAGGGAAAAAACCACCAAAATTGTAAAAGGACAATTCATAGGCTCTCCACCAATATAAAGCGACGGTTTCAAGCTTATACATTTGGGTGATCAGTATAACATAAAATGTGGCGCAAAAAAAAATTGTACCCAAAACCAGTCTAATTGAAACCAAATATAACATATTATTTCATAAATCTAAACAATTAAGTTACACTTTAAACTCGCAAAAGACATATTACATATATGCATATTTACATCGTTCCCTTAAATTACTGCCTTTCTTTTCTCTGCGAAAACGAATATTTCTCCTTCTTCTTTCTACGTTGCTTTTTGTAAATATTTCTTTCACCTCATTTAAATTGAACTATTCTTAAATAATTTATTTAAACGCACTTGGATTATAAACAAATTTTTTTAAATAAACATGGATCAGCACAAGTGCTTCAAGCCCAATCGCCGTTCTAATGGGTTTGTTGCCAAGGTAACACTATACTACATGAAAATTTGTAAAAATATGTTTTAATTATTATTTTTTTTTTTAAGTATGTACACCTAAATCTTTTTATTTAATCAACTTTTTTTTTCATCATCCTTTTCTAAGTTTCATATTCCAAAAAGATTTCTAATAAATTTCAATTTCGCAGAAATGAATTCAAACAACGATTTGGCATTACTGTGGCATTCTTGGCAACACATAGTGGTCTTACAAGATGGCAGGAGTTTCATTCAAATATGGCTGAAGAAGCTGGCGCTGGGTAAGTTCTTTGAAATATGAGGTCAAGCTGATAAGTGCCCCAAACTACAAAGAAAAAATTTCGAATGCATGTAGTTTGATTTTCCAACTAATTCAGTGTTATTTGTTTATCCTGATATCCCCTACTTGATCTATCCACGTTATGAACCTATTTATTACATTTAGAAAAGGATAATAGTTCCAGGAGGACAAGTCCGGTGAAAAGGACGGATGATAAACAATTCGGTGCAGAATTAATTTACTTTGGTCATTACCTTTTCTAGTCGAAATATCTGGCAACCCTAGTTTTATGAAAGCTAGGCTTGAACTACCTCACACTGTACATTTCCATCTTAGCCTCCCAAATGCTGGACAGTCTAGTAGGGAGTGTTGACATGATTCCACATGATCGGATCAGTTGAGATTCTTGGACTTACCTTGCGCATACCAACCAATCGCACAATGGTCTGTCAGAACCCCCAGCATTACGGAGAACTAAGACTTTACAAGCATTAGGAGCTCCTTTAATCGCCTCCGGTCCACCCAAGTCCAATAAAATCTGTGTGAACCGCAGGAGGCCAGAGACGTTCCCAGTTGCTGCATTATCCGGTGATAACGTTTCAAGGGTGCCTTGCCAGATAATCGGCCATGCAGTATACCGAAATGTCACTGTGACTCGGCACCCAAATTAGCATTCAAATATTTATTTACCGATTTTGAGCGCATCATCATAGGGTTCATGGCCCTGATGGCTCTGATGGCCTCCTGATTATCAGAGTATATGCTAACATTCCTAACTGACGTCAAACTCTTTAGCAGTGAATCTGCGGCTTCCTTTATGGCAGTAATTTCCATTAGAAAGGCACTTCAGAAGTTCGAAAGTCTGAACATAGTTTTGACGGAGATCTCACGACAGAAGAAACCTCCACAAACCCGTAAAGGAAATTACCGCCTGACAGCTGCTTGCCTATCAGAGTAGATGCTTACTTTCCTTCAACTGCTTCTTTAATGACTGGTGTCTCTGCCTGGAATACACTACTAGAGTCTGTAGGCCTGGATTTGAGGTTGATGGTGAGCCTACATACCATCCCTTCCGCCAGGTTTTGACCCATCCATGTAGAAGTTCACCGGCGCCGCCTTCCAAATGTGGCCATTGGTATGACATTGAGTGCTAGAGTCGGATTGATAAGTGTGTCCCACTATTTAAAACTGGTTTGGCATTTCTTGGCGAACCCAGCTACATCTTTATATTTAATGAACTTAACGATCTCATTTTGGTTGGTCTTTCCGACAGGGTAGGAGTTTGATGTGTTTTTGAACGATTTTCTGTCATCCCTTGTCAAAGTTGGTTTGGAGACAAACCGGTTTCGTCGTTCTGCCCTCTGCATTGTCCCTTTTCGTTCTGAATAGTTACTGTTTGTTCGTCAATACTAATAGCCGTGTTTTTCGTTTGCTGGGCAGCCTTCCTTTGAATCATTACATCTGGACCCAAGACTTCTAAAAGGATTTTTTACATAGAACCTTATTTTTTATTTTTATTTTTTTCAACCGATGCAGCGAGGCATTCAGCGAACAAAATAAACGAGCTATAGACGAGATGTGGTACAAACGTGCGGTGGATCAGCATTTTGTGCATGAAGACAGCTTCGTTTATTCGGTGCCATTTGATGCGGGAGGTAACTTAAATTAAGCCCATTAACTATTGATAACTGATTGGGATTTTTGCATTAATTTTTGCAAGATTTTGGAGAAGAAATCACTGTAACTGCCAGCAATGCTGTTTTCCACACAGAAGGCGGCAAATCTGCACCAGCTGCCGTTGTAGGATTTCAGTTCCACCATTCCGCGCTGGAGAAACTGTTCCGTAATATCACTGGCAATGTAAGTTATGCATCATACACTATGTATGTATGTGCATTAGGGCGGAGTAATTTAGCTTCGAAAAAAGTGTATGGCATATTTGAATTCTTCGTTCGATTCTAAGCAAAAATGGCGAACAAACTATATAGATACCAAACATTACGTTTGACCCTCCCAATTTTTTAAAGAAAAATCAGTGTATTATAATTTTTTCTGAACGAAATTAATTTTTCATTTAAACAATTTTGTGTTTTCTTCATACAATATACAGCTTTTTCTTTTTGAAAATTGAGAGGGTCAAACGTCATTTTTGGTATATAGTTTGTTCGACATTTTTGCTTAGAATTAATCGTAGTATTTAAATTTGCTATAAACACACGTTCTTCAAAAATGTATTACTTCAAAAATTTACCTTTTTTATGTGTGCTAGAAATGTTCCGACCTGCAGAAGCAGCAGCTGTATTTTATTGGAGTTTGTTGCCAAAAGCAAACTAAAGACTAGTTCCCAATATGATAAACATGAGCTCAGAAATAGACTTTTCTGCCAATCGAGAAATTTTGAGTTAATACATTTTTGTTAAAAGTTTGCGAAACGTGCAATAGGGTGTTTTACGAATTACATATTTTTTGTAAATTCTCATATTTGTCGCGACCACTAATTAGTAAACTGAACATTGATCCGTTTCAGGGATGTGCTGTTGAGGAACGTGAGTGCTACGTTATAGATAATAATGGCTTTATTATCATCGCACCATATCGTCAAGAGACAGGCAAATTCTTTGGCGAAATGAATGGCGGTATTATGTTACGCTTGGTGGAGGAGAAAGTCTTTAAGCGCGTCATTGTATATGACTATCAAGCGGTGTGCTTTGAATCCGATAGTGATATTAATGCATCGAATAGCTTATTATCGGTGAGTGAATCTAAATTTTGTTTCCTCTCATTTTTTCAATTGCAAAATGAATAATTTCGAAATCATGTGTTGTTCCAACGCTCTTTTAGCCTATCTTTCACCTTTTACGTGCACTCAAATGGCTGCTCCATACAGTGTTGTGGTATATTGTGCAACTGACTAATACGGCCATTGCCGAATTTATGGATCCCTATATTGATGACGACATGAATGACTACCCGAGCAATTCGAAAAGTACGGATTGGTTACGCATGGTGACGTTGCATCGGACACAGCTCAAATCGTGCGATATGCAACGCCACTTATATCTCATGTACAATGAGAAGGACAATGTTGTTTACAATATGACAGCTCATGCATGTGAACGGCCATTTGTTGTGCTGCCAATACCGAATAGTAATCTGATTTTATTGGTAATCGATCAACGTTGTCCACGAGATACATCGATACAAATGACCGTGGATCCAATCAAAATTCAATATCCACTGGATACAAATCAAACATTTGCCTGCTATAAGAATGATCGCGAATTTTCAAGAGTGCGTCCAGTTAGTTGCATAAATAAGCATATAAATGTAAGTAATGTTCATCGTATGTTATAGATATGTACATATGTACATTTCGTCGTCATTAAAGCGAAAAAACACTAACTTATCTTTTCTTGGAAATGGCAAAAGTTGTGTGTGGATCCCATGCGCACCTTAAAGGCCAGGCTCTTTAATTTCACATCTCATTTTTGATACTCGAAAGAACCGTGCAGACCTGACGACTTTCATGAGCAATACCTTCGATTATTATAAATGTACAATCGTCACTAGACCGCGAAAAAAAAGCGCAAGCTCAAAGGTTGACCGCAAAAAAGACACATAAAAAAACTNTACGGATTGGTTACGCATGGTGACGTTGCATCGGACACAGCTCAAATCGTGCGATATGCAACGCCACTTATATCTCATGTACAATGAGAAGGACAATGTTGTTTACAATATGACAGCTCATGCATGTGAACGGCCATTTGTTGTGCTGCCAATACCGAATAGTAATCTGATTTTATTGGTAATCGATCAACGTTGTCCACGAGATACATCGATACAAATGACCGTGGATCCAATCAAAATTCAATATCCACTGGATACAAATCAAACATTTGCCTGCTATAAGAATGATCGCGAATTTTCAAGAGTGCGTCCAGTTAGTTGCATAAATAAGCATATAAATGTAAGTAATGTTCATCGTATGTTATAGATATGTACATATGTACATTTCGTCGTCATTAAAGCGAAAAAACACTAACTTATCTTTTCTTGGAAATGGCAAAAGTTGTGTGTGGATCCCATGCGCACCTTAAAGGCCAGGCTCTTTAATTTCACATCTCATTTTTGATACTCGAAAGAACCGTGCAGACCTGACGACTTTCATGAGCAATACCTTCGATTATTATAAATGTACAATCGTCACTAGACCGCGAAAAAAAAGCGCAAGCTCAAAGGTTGACCGCAAAAAAGACACATAAAAAAACTTCAGCGAAGAAAGACGCTTTACATGGTAGTTGATGGCGAAAAAAAAAAACACATAAAAAACTTAAGCGAAGAAAGACGCGTAAACTTACCTTTGCGGTCAACTATAGGTTTGTTCACTCAAAATATCAGAGACTAAAAAAAATCTCTCAAATTCTCTCTCATGTTTAGAAATTTACAAATTTCTGCACGAACGCTGGTGTCCACGGTTGCATTTCAAACATAATACATATTTATAGAATTTTAAAAATTCTTTCATATTGACAAAAATAGGATATGCATGTATATTTCTTGTTAAGGCAGTACGCAGTTCTTAAGTAATTGCTAAGTTTTCTACTGCGGTTTTCAAAAGTTTTTTTTTGTGTGAAAAAAGCAACCTATACTTGAAACAGAAATATATGCCCGTTTCATTATCTTTCGGGGAAAGAGTGGGACAGAAGGCTGTGAAATATCAGATGTCAAAATTCCTTGGACACTACTATAGTATTTACACACGAAATAATGGCAACTTTTTCTTGGCCGTTTTCTTAGGAGCTAGATACTAAGCTTTTATCTCAAAAACTCGATCTTAACCTTAATCCTAGTCTTAATCATAATCGTTACCAACCACCCCTCCAATCCCCACCTTCTTCTGTCGCTTTTCCGTCTGGAATTAGATCCCAACGAGTGTGTCGCTTTTTCGTTACATTGATTTTCGCATTTACTCCGAACCGAACGCAAAGAAGTTTCACTTCAAAAACAAGTTTTATCTCGAGATGAGTCATGCAAGAAGCCCTTCCTTTGTAATTTTCTTTTGTAAAGTTTCATAGTTTTCATTGAGGACTTTTTGCATTGATAACGTCGAAATGTGCATATATACTACACATAAAGGTATCCTTACAAGGTCACATTATAGTGAAAAAAAAACATTCACTAATAGTCTAAGATCCGACAAAGGCACGACGAAACCATTTTTCTTTGAAATTTAACGTGTTAATAAATATTTTGCGAGTGAGGTGGCTGAAAAAAATTCTGGCCAGGATATTTTTAATTGAATATTCAAAAATTATTATTATTTTTTTAATTTTGTACTCATTTGTTCAATGAGCAAATTATATACCAATTGAAAGTATTAAACCTATAGAATGTGAAAACCAAGTGAAAACGTTGGGTTGTCTAATTTTTTCCTGGCCTACCTATCGGGTTGGCAGGTAGGAACAGGTAGGTAATATAAGTAATTTTCCCTCTTCTGTTCAACACATTCTGTAGGCTTTATGCTTTCAATTGGTATATATGTACGTATGCAGTTTGTTCATTAAACAAATCAGTGCAAAATTAAAAAAAAATAATAATAATTTTGGAGTATTTAATTAAAAATATCCTGGCCAGGACTTTTTAAGCCAACCCACTCGTGAAATATTTCCCAACACGCTAAATTTCATACAAAGTAGATTTCATCCATTAAACAGATGGGTGAAGGTCGTGCCTTTATCGGATCTCCTACTATAAATTCTTCGAAAATTTAATTGGAATCGCTGCTACATAAATTTTATTTTCTTTAACAGGAAAGTTCAATCGAATTGTGTGGCGATGCTGGCTGCATTTTCATCAACATATTTCTGCTCCTGCTCGGACTGGCATTATGTCAGTATCTGTAACACTGGCACTTTTAAATTTGAAAATTATTTTTGTAAATTAACTTGATTAGTTACTTATTTTAACTTTCGCTTTAAGAAGTACATATGTATAAAATGAAACAAAAAAATGCTACACATAACTGAGTATGTTAGTTAACTGTAGTGTAGCTATGAATATAACATTGTTGAACACTGAGCTTTAATAACTAGAAGTTACTAGAAACACTCAAAAAGGGTTACAAACTGCACACATTAGCATGAATACAAGAGGTTAATCTGAAGTTAATGCAAACCTCTCGGCGGGCGTCTATTTATTTCTCCTGCTTTAAGACTCTCGCTGCACCATAAATCCGGTGTCTAGTGAATTTTAAGTTAAAATTCCGTACCAAATTTTTTGGCGTTCACACCAATATCCATATTTACATATAAAACTTAGTTATAGCTGAAAAGCTACATACGAATGTATCTCGTCTTAAAATATTTATCGAGACGGAGGCAGCTTAGAGCCGACAGCTAATAAATACTTTGCGTAAAAGCATATTGATAGTTTGCAGCTTACTTATGGTGATTTCGTTTCTTCCAAAAAATTTTGCCCTTCCCCGGTGCAAAATGTGTTTGTTGTTACACTCAACCTTGTAAAAAGGCATGTTTTCGCCTTCTTGTCCTTGTCAAGCTCACGCATTTCATAACATTGTCGTTTTAAACAACCATCTGATTTTCAGGCAATCATTTCCCCTGACAAAGGTTAACAGGGCAGGGAATGTGCCTTTTTGCCTTACAAGAATGTGACATTTTAAGAAACGAACACACAATTTTCTCACCATTTGCATTTAATGTGGAATCGAACACAAAAAGAAAAAGGGGCAATCAAAAGGCAGAATATTTCAGTAGAAACCAAATCGCCATTAGTTTCCATCATTGTGATGCCACCAAGGCTTAGACTTTTTTTTGTTGAGAAATCAGTACATCACGTTTTTTCAATTGATCAAAATTAGTATTGCTATTCGACAAGCGAAGCATTCAAATTCGAATACTTTGCACTCTTATCACCTCCGGCAAAAAAAGTTAGCTTTTATTTCAACCAAATTGCCACAAATGGTATACAAACATGGTTAGATTTTCTAATAACTTAAGAACTAAACTAAATGTCATTCTCGTAGTTTTGCTCGCAAGAACGCTTAAAAACTCAAACCGAAATATGAACAAGATATTCGGGGGTGTTTTCACAAAAGCGAAAGTGAGAACAAAACTGTCGAGAACGTTCTCAACGGAAACATTCCCAAAGAGAACAAAATGAGAAAAATAATTTCGCGAACAGTTTTAAGAGAACAAGATGGGAACAAAAACTTCGGAACGTTCTGGCAAGAACAAAACGGGTACAAAAGCCTAAAGAACTTTCTCTCGAAGAACAATTTGGCTACTAAAGCCACAGGAATGCTCTGACAGAGAACGAAATGGGAACAAATCTTCTCTGAAGAATGGAGGCGAGAACAAAATTTTTCTGACGTGCATTAGTTTGAAATATTTGAATATTAAAATTAGTCAAAAAAGAACTGAAAGATAACTATGCAAATAAGGTCAATGAAAGACATAAGACACGAACTTTTCTTCCAAAGAAAATTAAAAATTATTCCATGGAAGTTAAAATGATTCAGATTTCCTCTGGCTTAGAAATAACAATCACGTTCTTGTTTTGTTCTCTAGCAGAACGTTTCCCAGACTTTTATTCTTATTTTATCCTCCTTGAAAACGTTGTCGATATTTTCGTTTTCATTTCGTTTACATTGGAAACGTTTCCGAAAATTTCGTTCTAATCATGTTCTTGAGAACGCTCTTGAGAGTTTTGTTCTCTTTTTCAGAATGATTCCGAGTTGGGCTTAAATTTTTTTCTTTACGGAAACGTTCCCGAACCTTTTGTTTCATTATCTTCCCGCTTAAACTGCTCTCAGTGCTCTTCTTTTGTTGTTAATTCTTTTGCGGGAACGTTTTTGACATTTTATTTTGTTCTTGTGCTGAACAAAACTAAATGCTGAACGCGTTCTCGGTCCCAACAAAAAATTTAAGTAAGAAATTACATTTCTCGTCCAGCGATCGCATTTAAAAATATGAAATAAAAAAGGGCACTCAGAGCAAAGATACAAAGAAAATGAGCAAAATTTTTTATTTTCGAATTGTAATATTACAAAATCAGTTTTTTTGTAAATTTAGGACATTTTAGTCTTTTTGGTGCTTACACATTTTGCTTAGTATCTGTCAAAGTGTCCGTAAATGGTATACGTCTTGATGTCGTGCCAAAAAAGTTTAATGCCACCAAGTTAGATTGATTTTAAGTGCGAAACTTTGTATTAGAAATACACTTTTTGGATATTGGTGAGACCAAGGCCCGCATGGCGGCATTTGGTATCGAATGTAACTCGAATCGAAATTAGATTTTGTAGTATTCGAAAGCAAGTACGAATTGTCTATTTAAAATGTATTGTGGAGAAAGCTAATCTCCTTTTGTTTATGAAAAAGAAGAATTGAGAGAGCAAAAATGACAGCTGAACTTGCAAGTCTACTGGATTTTTACTAGATACATTTCTATTAGTAACTATTTGCTAGTAATAAAAATAGCTGATGTCATGATGCTTAATACAATTCGCATTACAAAAAGAATTGTTTGTGATGCTTTTAGAGTTGCAATTGACAAAATAAACATATTTAAATATATATATTAAGATGGGAAATACTATTTTTCTTAGAAAATTGCGTCGGAAAATAATAAATTAATCAGCTGTGCGTAAAACTAGCATATTTCTCTTATTGGAAGTAAATATTGGCTTACTCTCAGAAATTTGGTTAGCTACTGGATATTTTTTGCTTGAGAATACGTAAACACAACTATTGATACTAAATTTAAAATTCATGCTAGTGTGCGTTTTGTCCCATTTTGGGTTTATTGTCTATAGATTTACACTTGCGCGCATCCATAAGCAGGTAATTTTTCTTATAAAACTCGGCATACTACACTGTGGAACATAATAAAAAAAGCTAGAGCACTTTAGGTTTTTTTTTTATTCTACAGTGCTATATGTAACTCTCACCAACTCTGTTAAAACAAGTTTGATGAAAATTTGAATAAAACAAGGTCTCGATGAAAATGTATTTTGAACATCGGAGATATCTTAAAACATTGGTGCACATATCTTAAATTTAGTTTTTTGTTTATCAGAGTAGACTTATGCACTTTTATATCACCAATATCATTGGAGCTTCTAGCCATTCATAATTTTCATTTTTATCAGCAAAGTCTCGAGTAGATATTGATTACTTGTCTTGTAAATAGAACCAGCAAATGTTTTGGTACGCGACTTGACACAACAACCATTCCCAGTGTTCAGTAATTATGTTTGCTTTAAATTAACGGCTATTTGAAGAGTGATATTTGCGTGTTTAAAATTTTTTAAGTGCATAAGTTGTCGAAAATCGTGCAGTCGTAATTGGCCTGCAAAAATGCAGCTACGGAAAGGGCGAAATATTTCGGATGTTGCGACCACTAAAAATCAATCGAAATTTTGTGTGTTCTAGGTTATTAGTTGAATAACTAGTCGACCTTCGAAAATCCGGCTGCACAGCACTCTGCGAACGCCAAAAGCCGAAGTAATTCGAATTCATCGTAATCCGCTGCACTAGCCGAAAATAACGTCCCGAGAAATGAATATCAATAAGGACGGCATGTCGCATGGCTTCCACTAGTCGACATTGAAGTGTAAATAGAAAAGCAATTCGGAAAAATATTCACTCGTTTTCAGTTTATTATACAAATACACCATGTAATAAAACACTTGCCAGTACCAAGTATTTCCCAACTACCCCGAGAGATCAAATTTCTTCAAAATCTTTTCCTTTAGTTTATATTTGAGGTATTCACAAGGTATCATAATGTGTCAGTAGTCATAAAGTCTGAAAAAATAACTAAAAGTATGCAATTTTGAATTTATGACTTATGACGGCTTGTGAATATCCCCTATATAAATTTATCAGACGAAGGTATTTATCGAAAGAAGTCTCACACTATACGGATTTTCGCTGATGAAATTGATTCTAAATATTTTAGTATGACCGTCTAAATATTTTTGCAAGGCAATTATAAAAAAGAAATTAATTTTCTAAATAGTTCTACTGTAATAATCAAAATACTTTTATATCAAAAATTTTATAAATCTTGGCGATCTTTATATTACTGGCATTAGGGTGGTACGTTTGGATGGTAAGAACTGAAATCTGGTGTATAAGTACTAGAACAGAGCACTTGAGGTCAATGAATTTTGGAACAAAAACACTAAGGATTAGACATTGATTAGACAAAGATTATAGACATGAAACACTAAACTAAAATCAAAAAATATTTAGAGGTCGCTCAAAGCGCTCAAAGTTTTCCATGTACTTTTATATGGGGAAAAACAACTTTTAGTAGAAATGGTATAGAATTCTTAAAACCCAATATTTTTCGATCGAAAAGCTCTGCTTCTCTGCAGGAGATTCCCAGTAATAATACCCAATTGTTTGTATTAAAAAATGGTTAAATAACCAATTGGGTATTGTTACTGAAAGTCTCCTGAAGAGAACCAGAGCTTCCCGATAGAAAAATGCATTAAAAACTTTGAGCCCTTTTAGCGATCTCTAATTTTTTATTTCAAAATAAAAAATAGGGGTATACTTTTTCGATATAGTACAATCCTTAGAGGTGAGAGCATTACAATTCCAGCTTTACTGTTTTCGGACCACCCTAATGTACACCCACACTAATAAAGGCTTAAGCGATTTTTCGAGCTTATGTAGAGAGAATAGAAGTGAATTTGTCAACCATATTTTCACTGAAACTGAAAAATCACAGTTTTAGAGTTGTGACTATCTGCTCGTAGAAAATGAACGATATGCAACAGACTTATTTTTTAATTAACAGCAGGACAGAGTTTGTCTTTTCAATGAGACCTTAGATTAAAATGGAAATTGGTTCAAACAGGGCTGAGGTTTAATATTATTTTTTTTTTAATTTCAATGTTTGGATAAAAAAAAATAATAATTTTGTGCAAATCCACGTTTATTGCAAGATAGTAAACTCTGTTTATGAAAAACTCGATTTTAGCGATCTTTTCAACAGGGCCAAAGCTGCGTTGAGAACAGTTACGGAAACCGTATAAGATTTCAATGTTAAATGAAAAATGTAAACATGTGCATAAATTTCAACTACATTCGTAATAATAAACTTGTATATTTCTAAAACATTCCTTTATTTATGATGTATGTATATATACATAAATAAATAAAAATACATTTATTTATGTATAATTATCTAGAAAATATAGCTTTTATATAAAACTGAATGAATGGAAAAAAGTTTTTAAAAAATCTAACAGAAAAAACTCCCAACAGAGGCTTACTGACCAAGGGTGATTCAGTAGCAGTACTTCAGAGAGCGCGGTTTTTATTGTAATTAGTAATTAATTGTAGCTAAATTTAGTAATTATAATGCCCTATATTTCGCAAAACATGGTGTAAAATGTAAAAAATCTCGAAAATACTTACATATTATAATGTTTTCATTCGTTTAACACTTATGAAATCGCGTATGTGAAAACAATAAGCTTTGAATGGCGCTGGCGAAGATACATATGTACGGTGGCGAGAATGTAAATAGGGTAGAGACATTTTAGCAAGTTTTGGCTATTTTTCTTTGTTTAAAAAAGGTTTATTATTTTTTTATTAAAATATAGTTTACTATTTAAACAAAACCTTGTAGATTAAAATTCCAAACTTTGTAGAACATTTACATATACAAATTCGACGAATTTTAACAAATGTTGGTCAAAATTTTAAACTTTTTAAACCGATTTTTTTTAGACTTTTTGAGTATGCAGTTTTATAGTCTATTAAATTTTAGTGCAATAAAGTGCAAGTTTGGAGTAGCTATAACTTACCGTTGATTTTTGGCAAATTTTTTTGT